ATAAATTATAATTTTATGACAATATCATTTAAATAATGAATTTTTTGTATGACTTATACTTGATATATAATTAAGTGTTCATTGAAATTACTCCATTTTAATTAAAAAAGACTTCAAATATTAAAAATATATTCACTATCAATTTTAAAGTCTAAGATTTAAAACATAGTTTACTTTCAAAATATATCTTTTGATAGTTGTTTAAAATAGATCATATCTTATTAATTTTAAAATTATGATGTTTCATTATTTAACAAACAATAATAATATTGAACCAAAGTTAATTGAAAAAAGTGTTTGAATATTTAAAGAACAACATAAAAAACTATTTGATTAGGATAAGGTATACCTTTAAGTAAAGTTTATTATTTAAACTTTTAGTATAACATATTTTAGTAAGTTATGTATATTTAATTGCTTTTTAAGGAATCAATATTCGATACTAAAAGTAGTTTTAGTCAATATCCCATATAAATACATAAATAAACATCATTGATTATCACATTGAAATACTAATAGTTTTTTTTATTACTTCATATCTTTTTTTTAGAATATGTTTACAAACTAATATTTTTAATTAGTAAAATTCATGTAAGTATTTATTTTTTACTATAAAATGAAATTACAAAATGATTTATATTACATAAATAAGTACATGTTAAAAATAGAAGTTAGTAATGAAAAACAATTATATATTTACTTTATTTCAAGTAACAAATACTTATAATAATTTGGTTTCAAATCAAAATAACAAATTTAAATTTTCAATGGTAAATAGATGAAAAGTAATAGTTTGAATGAGTTCGGAAATGATCAATTGCCTAAAAAATTTATAAAATTAAAAATAAAAATCCACCACTAAAAAAGCTCTAGAAAAAATAAAAAAATAGAGAAAAAAAGTACAAAATCTTATTTGATTGTGGTAGGAGACAATCTTTTATAGTCAAAAAAATTAAAAAAAGAAGAAAAGTATATATATAAAAAAATGAAGATGATGACTTAACACTAAAAGACTTAAAAGAAAACTTCTAAAAAGAATCAAAATAAAGAAACATTAAATATTTATTTTTTATTGGAATTTTAATCTTAATTTTTTATTATATTTATTTTTTTAACTTAAATTTACATTTTTAATTTAATTTAGTATGATGATAATTATTTCAATTTTATTATTATAAAATATTAAAATTATTATATTATATTATATTATAATTTGGTTAATAATCACGTGCATGGCACGTGGAATAAAACTAATATGTATATATTATAAACAGTTAATAGATAGAGATAATAATATATAGTTTTTTTTTTCAAGCATATAGTTATTGCTAGTACATATATATATATATGTGTATATATATATATATATATATATTAAGTATTTATATCTTAAGGGAGTTTTTAATGAAAAGTTAAAAAGTTAAAGACTTATCAATAAATAATCCAATTTTTAATAAGGTTAATTTATGCTACAATTTTTAATCAACAACTAATCGAAAAACAATAAAGATTTATTTCTCATTTTTTTATTATATAGAGCAGACAAGTTAAAATATTTCAAATGAAGGGTAAGGACAAAATCTACAAGGAAAGTTGTCTTTTGAAGATGAGTAAATAATTTTTTCAATTTTGGAGAAATAATGTTGATTGTCAAGTATTGATATTTAACTTGTAATCGAGAAATAATAAAATTTTAGGAATCCATTATCCCTTTTTAAGATTAGTTTAGGCAAATCATTTAGATTTTAATTAGGGTCTAATAAAGTAATGAGAAAGTTTAGTAATGTAATTTTATTGCTATAAAAATAGGAACCAGAAATTTGATGGGGTTAGAAAGGAAAATTTATATTTCGTATGAAACCTGATGTTTGTAGTAGTGGATTAAAATAATATTCTAGATTAAGGGATAAATTATTGCTAATGATTATTGCACATCGTTGAAAAGCTTATTGAATTTACTTTCCAATGAAATAAACCAAAGTCAATTCCAAGTTTCCTATGAAGAGTATAATTTTTACTTAAGGATGTGTAGGTTACCTAGTAGTAGCCGTAGGGAAAAATTACGAAATTCCTGTTAATTTTTGCAAGGAATTATGTATTGAGTCATATATGTTTGAAAAGGTCATTAAGTCTACTTTCCAACAAAATAAATAGAATTGAATTTCGAGTCTTCTATGAATAAATATGTAATTTTTATGAGAAGGTATATATGTTATCTGACAGCAGCATATGATGTAGATTGCAAAAGTTATTATAATAAATCTATAAGGAATCTCAAGATGGACCATATATGGTTAGAAAGTTTATCAAGTCTAATGTCTAATGCAGTTTTGGTGAAAGGAGCTTAGATTTTAGTATTAGTTAATTGAGTTAATCATTATATAACTTAGTTATTTTTAATATAAATAATCTCAAAAAAGGTTGATTAAATTTTGATATGTTAAAATATTTTTGAATAAGCTGTTAATTATTTTTGGAAAAAACTAAATGGTGGAATCGAAAAGAAGTAAGAAGAATCTCACACATTTTATTTGTTTTCGAACCTATGTATATATGCGTGTTTCTAAATGAAAAAATATTTTTTTTAATTTCGATATATAAAAATATGATCAAGCATATGATTATTTTGGTGTCTGGTTATGTAAATGATGGATCATGCTTATGAATGAATTGGGAAAAATGATTTATGCTTAAATAATGATTTTATGATAGTTACATTTTTACATCCTTGATAAATAGGATCATCAATACCAGAACTAATTTTACGGCTTAGCTAATGGGTTATAATAGTTAGCATAGCTATGATCATATGACTCTGCTAACAGGTTATAATAGTTAGCGTAAAAGCCCTTACTAGCAGATTGTAATAGTTAGCAATGATCATAAGAATAAAATTATCGATACGGTTAATGTTATAAATTATAGCAGTGATCGTAGCTAATAATAAACTAATAATGATGATGATTTATGATGATTTTTAAAGATTGATTCATGATTTAGTTTGATTAACATATTTGATATAATGATAATTTTTGAAATGTTTTGACACTATGATTTAATGAATGTTATGAATGATTTATATGTATATATGAAAATGATATTTGATCCAGTAGAGTATGTGAGCTTATACTTACTGAATTGTGATTTGTTCATTATCATTTTACTTTTTCCTTACAAATGATTAAAATGATAAGTTTGCTTTGTCTTAAGAGAAGTTAGAGGATCAAACTGAAAATATTACTTAGGCATTGAAGACATTATTGGCTAGTGAGATATTACGAAATAATTTTATATTTTTATTAGTTTAAATTTAGATATATAGAGATTTATCATTAGTTGGATTAAATATATGAATTTTATTTGGCATATTATTTTATTGAAAAATTTTAAAATGATTAAGAAAAAAAGCTTCGTATTACTTTTGAATTTTATTTCAAAGTAATATGATTGTATTGCGTTTTGATCTTGTGGTGTGACAATTAGAGAAAGAAACACTAAGATATTTGAATACCCTTCATTGGTATTAAAATACCATTACTCTGCTCAACCAAAAGTGTGATTTTCTAAAATAAATTTTGTTGAAATGAGACTTACTTATTCATAGGTGATTTTTCACTATTAGTAATGTGAATAATTATGTTCATAATTATTCATAAAGGTATTTTTAAGAGATAAAGACATGATATTTCATTGAAATGACACAAGTTAAGAGACACTACCCTTAGGTTCATTTTCTATAAATAGAGATGGTTAGAAATCATTTAAATGAATGAGTTTTTTTATGCTGAAAATAAGTGCAAAACTCTGTCAAATTTTTTTCCTTCTTACTCTCAAAAAAAGACAAAGTCTCTTAAATTTTATTTTGCAGCAATAAATTATTTGAAGATTAGACATTTTCATGCCTCTTCAAAGGTGTTTAGTGCTTTGAATTTTATTAATTCAAGGTAAATTCAAATAAAATTTCATTGTATCTCGTAAACTATATTTGAACAATTCCTGTTGCATCTCAAGAAATCTAAAGAAAAGTGCTTTCATAACATGCCTTGAAGTCTTTTTTTTTTTTTTTTTATAGTTTTTGGTTCTTCATTTGGTGTCAATATTCAACCACCAGTGTAAAGGATGTATTGCAACAAGTAATGGACTTGAAACCATCTTCATTGACATTAAGCAGTCGTGGTACCAATAAACTTTTAGATTTATTTAAGAGTGAAAATTCTAAAATAACAAGATTGATTAATTTAATTTACAAGCTTTGTCTCTAACATTAATCAAGTCTCAATCTCAACTAATTCTTACTAATCAAAGACCTTAAACAACAATAACACAGTTGAAAAACAATTCAGCAAATATTCAAACAATAAAAGTCAAAGTTAAAGAGTTCCCATGGATTTTCATGACTATAGGCTTGGCAATAGTATAATTATGCACAAATGGGTAGTTGGGAAGGGGCGAGCACCAATAGCAAACCAAAGACCATGCTAAATTTAGTAAGAATTTTCTTTATTAAGATATGCAGGTAATTGCTCATGAAATGTTGTGTTCAATAAAACATCCAGTGGAGCTTTTATCATAGGGATTATGAAGTTTCCAATTCGATGGCGAACATCAAAGATGCTTTTCAAATGTGGCCATAAACTTTCAAGTGATTTACTGCAACTATTCTGGATGATTGGAAACATTGTTGTCTCCAATTAGGATCAAAGCATCTTTTGTGGATAAAAGAGTTTTAGACCAATCAAATATGGTTCATTTGTATTGTTAAAAGACCAGGGGTACTTTCCATGTTCCAGCTGACCTATCTTTCACTTTGAAGTGTGTAACAAAAGGAGACTGAATTTTTTTTTTTTTTGGTTACATGAAAAGGAGACTGATGCAGTTACCATCAAGGATTCTCAATTTCTGCAGTATGGACACTTTAGTTTCACATTACTATTATTTGTTTCGCTCGAATTATGCAATTATGATATTCAATAAATTTAAAATTTAAATTTTAACACATGCAATAATTTTTTTTATTCTCAAATTGCAACGCCTTTGTACACTTGAAAATTGATAGTCCAAAAACCACCAAGAAATCCAACCAAATGGTCTAAAAAATCACAGATTTGAAACCCAACCACCACCAAACTTGGTCTAAAATTATTATTGGACAAATCAAGTTAGACTTGGTTTGTTCATAATATTTAATCCTAACAGATAGTAACAAAATCTTTTTTAAAAAATAATATCTATGATACACAATTCAGAAAAATGGAATAAAAAAGTATTTTAGCTAATTCACATAGCTGCCAAGTAAATGCTGAAATATTTACTATTATTATACATAGTGCAACAGGTCATTGTCTTCAACACAAAAGTTACTGCTACATTTCTATCTTCCATCCTGCACACTTAAGGTTACTGCATTTTCTGAAAGAGATTCTTCTCTTTTTGATTTTGCATCCCCATCATTGAAACTTCTTTCTATGAAGAAACCAGGTTGTTTAGGTTCAGGCAATTCGTCTTTCTCATTTACCAGCATCGATACAACCCAAGACATTACTGGCCTGTCTTTTGGGAACTTTTGAACACATAGTAAACCCAACTGAATACATCTTAGCTCTAATGCCCTGTCTTTCTTCCATAGCAACCATGCCTAATTCAATTGCACAACATTTAATTAGTCACTAACAAGAAGAGAAGGAAATAAGATTACAACATTGTCAAATTGTCTAACTTACATGTCCTAGAACGTTCTGGTAGTGATCTGGATGTCTAAAACCCCTATTTTTCTTGCCACTTAATATCTCTAACAAAAGCACCCCAAAGACGAAAACATCAGATTTGATCGAAAATTCTCCGTCCACTGCATATCTGGAGACATGTAGCCATAGCTGAAGTATATATATCATGAGTTGTATGATTTATAAATAAGAAATTTGGGGCAATGTTAAAACTATGCAACTTACTAAGTCCTAGCAACTCTGATTGTTCTTGCTTTAACTTCAGCCCTCCAAAAGTTCTTGCTAAGCCGAAGTATGAGATAACAGCATTCAAGTTGTGGCCTAGTAAAAAATCGCTGGTCTTCAAATCTGTGGATAATTTGAAGTCTAGAGTCCTGACGAAGGTAGAGAAGTCCCCTTGCAATTCCATGATTATGTTGAAGCGAATTTTCCATGGAAGTAATGCACTTCTCTTTTGATCTGCAAGCCATTACAACCCTTATGGTTTCATCTGTAATTTGGGCTGCAAGAGACAAGAAAAACAGACCAAAAATAAAATAAATGGAACCGATTGCTTGCTCTACCCTGTAAAATCAAGTCAAATTATTTAGATTTGTAAGCCCAATATTGAATGGGCCAAAAGTGCAAAAATTTTAGGCCCAGTAAAGGAGCAATCAGGCCTAAATTAAATAGAATTAGTGAGGCACAAATATATCAATGGACCCATCTCGAATTGGGAGTCTCGAATTCCTTGCGATGGGTTGCTGGGCTAATCTCCCGGTGTTGGCAAGCGGTTGATCCAAAGGGCCTGCCTTCCCCAGGTTCCGTCATAAAAAAATGCATATTATAGCTGGAAAAGATGATATAAACAAAATGAAAGCAATATCGTTTAAAGGATTAATAAAAATTGTATAAGGGTTTAACGGAAATAAAAAAAAAAAATTTTTATATTTGATGTGTGGATACGAAAAAATAATGCAATAATTTTAATATTTTACACGTTTGAAATGCAAATCTGAAACCACCAATTAGATATGGGTCCAATTGGCTTTGTTCTGACCAGGCTAAATTGATTTCGTTTTTTCATCAAATGAAACAGAAAAGTTTAGCAGGTCACCTGCACAGACTCTAAAACCAATCAGTTGATAGGATTGCAATAAAAATATGAATTAGATGTTTTGATTTGTGCCATAACTCAAATTCATTTTCTCAGTTGCTGCATATAGTTTTCATCAGCACCACTGTAATGATGCCATCAAAGTATCTATTATTTCTGTCATCTCCATCATATGCGTGGCCTTTTCTAAATTTACCAATATTCGAAATGTACAACTTCCCATTGAACGGGATCTTGGTGTATAATTCTCCAAAGTAAACCACAAAGAAAGCACATTAACGAGCTTCCAATACCGAACATGTTTCATCAATTACAGAGCAAATTTCTGGCCTGCTCTCTTCTAGATGTGTGTTCGCCGTGCCTGTTACGTTTCAGAAAGCAGGTTGTTTGGGTGACAGTAGGATCATACTTTCACTGTTGAGCATTGAAACAACACCAGACATGGTTTGTCTATCATCTGCATTTTCTTGAACACAAAGCAGCCCAATGTTAACATATCTCATTGCCATATGTGTAGGTACTTCCCCCAGCAATGGATCAACCAAGTTCAATACCCTGTTGCTCACCCACAAATCCCATGCCTCAGTAACAGAAAACAATAATATTAACTACAATCCATTTGTAAATTCTTTGAACCAATCAGGCCTAAAGATAAAACCTGTTGACTTCATAAAACCAATTAGTAATGCGATCACGAGACTAATATATTAAACAATAAATCGAACCTTAGAACATTTTGAATTCATTCAACTGCATAGAGTAAAAGCAGTTAAGATACTCACATATCCAAGAAGATGGAGAGACTCAGACTGATGGAAACTAGTATTTTTCCTGCCACTCACAATTTCTAATAACGAAACTCTGAAGCTATAGACATCTGATTTTTCTGAATAGAAGCCTTTCAGAGCATATTCCGGGGGCATATAACCACTGACAGTGAGTATAAACTCAAAAATTGTTAGTAATCTACACATTTTTTTAATGCACTTCAAATGACATGCATTTATTTTAACTTACTATGTTCCAACGATTCGCTTTCTGTTTGCTTGTAATTCGTCCCCTCCAAAAATTCTCGCCTGTCCAAAATCTGATATTTTAGGATTCATGTTGCCATCTAACAATATATTACTTGCCTTTAAATCTCTATGAATAAATCTAAATCTAGAAAATTGAAGATAAAGAAGCCCTTTAGCAATCCCTTCAACAATCCGAACGCGTATTCCCCAATCTAATGACCGACGTTTAGTTGAATCTGTTTTCATTTGTCAAGATGTGAGTAAACAGTCTTGTGATCTGGGTTAAGGGCTGAGAAAATGAGAGTTGATTTAAATATCTGAAAAATATATACCAAATATGAAGAAACCCAAATTTTTTTTAGTTATATACTCATAAATTAGTATCTTTTCTAGTTCAGTGCAACATCCCAAAAGTCTGACAAGATTCTTGTGTTGGAGCTTGGCTATGAGCAGTGCTTCATTTTTTAACTCTTCCCATCCTTGTCCAGATCTTCTCGAAAGCCTTTTAACAGCTATTTCATTTCCATTCAGTAATATTCCCTGAAACGTTAGCCCAACACACAATATTTGCATGAGCCATCAGCATATCAGAAACATGGCAAGGTCATATTGTATTTTCATTAGGAGTTAAAAGGAAAAAATTCATACCTTATAAACAGGTCCAAAACCAACCTCCCCAAGTTTATTTGTGGCTGAAAAATTATTTGTTGCAGCAGAAACACTTGAAAAACTGAAAAATGGCAGCTTGACTTCCCTGTCCCAATGTGTTCCAGGTTTATTTGCCTCTTAAAGGTCTCTTTCATCCCCGTTTACAATCAAAGCCAAATCAAATTTTAATAAATCCTCTCCTGAATGATTCATACAAGGTCAAAAAAATAATTTAATACTTTGTTGACTATTCATTAATTGATAAAACATGCAAGGCAGTAATTGTACCTTTTTGTTGAACTGTTCTGCAGACACAGTAAATAAATAGGCCCAAACTCAGCATTGATAGAGAAATTGTTAGTGTGACAATTGCCCATAGCTGCCTACTATTCCCTGTATCCTTACTAACTTTGGTAGTCCCATTTGTCGACCTCCCTGTCAAATAAAATCAAATACTAGGTTAACTTGTAATTCCATTTGCATTAATCTTAAAATCAAGGGAAAACAACTCATTCCTGCAGTCTTACCTATAGTAACTAGATCAGAAACTGCAAGCTTAAGATAAAATTTTTTCCATAAATACTCTTTTCTGAAAGTTGTTTTAGATCGAAAAAATCACCATTCCACACTAAGCACCCTAGTTTGTGATCATAAGCATATGCAATGCAGGAACAATTGTGCAAACAAACTGATTCACAATCTACTGCAGTCCTAGTGTTTAGCACCAATGGACCACTAGGAAAATCTACAGAAGGCATCCAAAGAAACCCAAATCACCCCCACCATTGCTACACTGCAAGTTGGTTATTCTCTCGCAGCCTTTAGATTTTTCAACCTCATTCAAAGCACTGCAGGAAATAGGTTTGAAACCTTTCAAACATCTGCATGGCGTATCAGCAGTCATGTTGCAAATACTGAAAACTCCACATCTGTGATAGGAGCACTTGGAAGACTCTAAATTGTACCAGCGTTGGTCACCTTCGCACCAAGTCTGTAACTTAAGCTGCCCAAACACGTCGAGTACCATCTGCATAATCCTAGATGAATCGCGCAAACCCCAAGTGACAGTGTTGTTACCACTTCTGAACCAACCATAAGCATTAAACCTAAAAAAGTTGTTTAAAGGAATAGTCCAATGTATCTTGGAACCCTGCATAATAATCAAATAATCATTGTATTTATCAGAACTGAGTTCCAGGGAGAAAGAACCGGGGGCTGGATCTCCATGACACTACCGACCAAGTAACTCCATATCTTCTGTCATTCCAAGCTTCATTCCAGGCAAAATGGTGTCTGAAGGATAATCAAAGCTTTGCCACAAAACTTCAGATCGATCATACAAAAGGGGGAACGAACCTCTAACAACTGAAAAGAAAAGCAGAAAGCGATTCAGACCCTCCGCCTTTGGGCTAATGTTCTTGCTTAAGCTAATCCGATCTTGCAATATCAGATTACCTGAATCTAGTAGCCTGGCAAAGGTGTTGCCACCAGTTGTCCTGTTCGTCAACATGTAGGATATTTTGCCATCAGAAATCACAATGTTCCCATCACGGTTGATGGCAAAAATAGAAGAGTTACCCAGGAAAGGATATTCTCTATTGGCCACCCAAACCACAGTACGTGTTGACACTTTAAGTTTAAACCCTATTCCAACTTAATACCTCGAACTGTTTCTCGGAGAAAAGAATCCAAGTTCAAATCTTTCACCACCAGATATAAGGGTCTTCGAGAATGTAATAGATTGGCCCTGTTCTAGAGTATCAGTACCATTTGTATACTGCAATGCAAGGAACAAAAAAACCAGCAACCGAGAAAGGGAAGCTAACTTACTACTGCTTTTCATGTTTCTATCTGCTCAAGACATCAGATTGAGAACAATCATATGGATTTTGGAATGCTAGTAAGGAAGAAATTAATCTGATGAAAGGTCTGAGAAAAAAAGGAGGCGCCTTGTAAAAGTTTGTTTCCTATAAGTGACCACTTTATATGCAGCTGTAGGAAAGTAATACACAAATGTGAACACTGAAAGGAGCAATAAACGTATCCTATAAGTTTTTGACTGGATATTTGGCTTTTTCTTGGTTTTTTTCTCTGTGACATTGATTGCACTCATCAATAATTTTGCTATGAAATTCAATCTGAATCACAAAAAATTTCCCTTGTATCGACTTTAATTCATATACATACAGCATATAACTAATTTTCAGTTTGAAATCACTACTTGTTTCTTGTCATTTAAATTATAGGATGATCCTGAAACAGAGAAATGTGTCAAGAAAATCTTGTTTTGTTTCTTTCAAAGGAAACAATTTAGCTATCTATTTTTAGTACATAAATCTGTTCGAAACATCCAAAGTTTATCATATGATGGTAACCCTTGATAGAGTTAATGGCTTTTGCATGAGTTAATTTGTTAATTAATCATCTACTTAATTTGCATGCTTTTCCATCAGAATTCGAATTTGAGGGCCTGATGGGAAGGGATATGATGAATTGCTTTGCTCAGTTGAATTTAGAGGATATTTTACATCATGCATCCTGAAGAACCTGTCATTGTCTCATGCACCAACCATAACTGGCCTTGCCTTATCCTCTTTTCTGAGGAAGAAAAACCTCTCAAGGTAACTGTTATGCTTACTACGGCTGCTGAATGGACCAAAATAATTAAAAATTTCACATAAATATCTTTGCTGATACCAAATTGACATCCACTGTTGGGAAGTGTTCGGCCATATATGTTCTCTGAGGTGTCCAGACGCGTCCACGATGAATCTACGTACTACAGCTACTGGGCTTCAAAATTGGTGGTCCAGAAAACCACATTAAAACCCAATCAAATGGTCTAAAATATCCATTTAGTATTTTGGGATTTTGTTTCCAAATCACAGATTTGAAACCCAACCACCACCAAACTTGGTCTAAAATTATTATTGTGCAAATCATGTTAGACTTGGTTTTGTTCATGATATATAATCCCAACAGATAGAAACAAAATCTTTAAAAAAACTCTTATATGTTATACACAATTCAGAAATGCTGAAATATTTAGTACTCATACATATTGCAACAGGAAATTGTCTTCAACTAAAAGTTACTGCTACATTTCAATCTTCCTTCCTGCACAGTTAAGGTTACTGCATTTTCTGAAACAGATTCTTCTGTTTGTGATTTTGCATCCCCATCAATGGAACTTCTTTCTATGAAGAAACCAGGTCGTTTAGGTTAAGGCAATTTGTCTTTCTCATTTACTAGCATCGATACAACACAAGACATTACTGGCCTGCCCTTTGGGAACTTTTGAACACATAGTAAACCCAACTGAATACATCTTAGAACCTAAGATGGAACGCATGAATTCTCCAGACATGAATCGATTAGCTCTAAGGTCCTGTCTTTCTTTCATAGCAACCATGCCTAATTCAATTGCGCAACATTTAATTAGTCACTAACAAGAAGAGAAGGAACTAAGATTACAACATTGTTAGATTGTCTAACTTACATGTCCTAGAAGGTTATGGTGGTGATTTGGATGTGTAAAACCCTTATTCTTCTTGCCACTTAATATCTAACAAAAGCACTCCAAAGGCGAAAACATCAGATTTGAACAAAATTCACCATCAACTGCACACTCTGGAGACATGTGGCTACTGCTGGAAGTATATATCATGAGTTGTATGATTTATTAATAAGACATTTGGAGCAATGTTGAACTATGCAATTTACTATGTCCCAGCAACTCTGTTTGTTCTTGCTTTAACTTCAGCCCCTCCAAAAGTTCTTTCTAAGCCAAAGTCTGAGATAACAGCAGTTAAGTTGTGGTCTAGTAAAATATTGCTGGTCTTCAAATCTCAGTATAATTTGAAGTCTAGAGTCCTGATGAAGATAGAGAAGTCCCCTTGCAACTCCCATGATAATGTCCAAGCGCATTTTCCGTGGCAGTAATGCGTTTCTCTTTTGATCTGCAAACCATCGCAAACCTTATAAGTCTCATGATTGATTTGCAGCAGTATCAATATTATTTAACAGTCTCTTTTTTCTCAAAAGTTAGATAAATGGTTTCATCGGTAAGCTTGTCTGCAAGACACATAAAATAACATAAATAAGATGAAACCGAAGATGAATGGACAAGAAAAACAGACCAAAAATAAAATAATCTAAGCTATTGTTTGGCTTAAACTCATAAACCAGAATCCTTTCTTCCCCATGAATGCAGTAGCCCAAAAGCCTGACAAGATTCCTGTGTTGAAGTTTGGCAATCAGAACAACTTCATTCTTGAATTCTTGTAGACCTTGTTTTGAATTCTTTGACAACTTTTCAGCGCAATATCTTCTCCAGTACATATACTTCCCCGCATTTCATTAAATCAAAGACTTATCATGTTTCTGTTAGTATTTTTTGTCAATTAGAAGAGAACCATGGATCTTTATACCTTATAAACTGAACCAAAGCCACCTGCTTCAATCAAATTTTTTGGAGAGAAGCCATCAGTAGCTGTAGTGAGAGTTGCAAAATCCAATAAAGGTACCTCTATGTCTTTCTTCTTGCATTCCATGCCTATGATCCAAGATAATTGGCATATTGACTATTAAGTATTGAGGATAATTTTTTTTTTTTGTACAATGAAATTAGAGGATGAGTAGGCTATAACCTCTTTTAAATTTTCTCTTCTTCCATGTAATGCACCAGCGTACCAAGCATAATATCAGGATTCCAGCAATAACTGGCACCACTATGATCACTGCCAATCTCTTTCTCACATTTGAATCATTGAACACTTCTAGAACATTCAAGAACGATAAAATTTACCATTTCGATTGGATATTTTCCTCTTTCTCTAATAAATTAATTAGAGCCTTGCTAACTGCGTTCAATTTTATCACAAAGTCCAACATTAATTCATTAACAATTCACAAGGATTATCAAGATAAATATAAATAGCCTTCAAGCATATACCTTAATCCATGTAATCTGTGACTCCAATAACTAATATAAGAAGAATGTCATAGAAGCTGCACTTACCACGTTCAGAAGAATGCATCCGTATATAGATATCTTGTCTTCTATTCTCTTCTGTGAAAAGATATCACTCTTCAATATATTTGACATACAGGTGAAGCCTTATATACAATTTACAGAAAAGCTATTCTAAGAAGGCTATAACAACTACACAAATTTAACATAGAATAATGGTAAATCAAATATTACAATTATACAAATCTAGTCTAGAATAATGGTAAATCAAATATTAAATATCTAATTTAAATTTTCCTATAATCTCTCCTTCAATATTATGGTTACAGGTCAGCCAACCCCCCCCTCAAGTTGGAGCATAGATGTCTCCAATGCTTAACTTGACTAGTGAGTACGAAACACCTTGCTTGAGACAGCCTTTGTAAGGACATCCGTCAACTAATTTTCTAATTTTTACAAATGGAAATTGAACTATTTTAGCCTCAAGCTTTCCTTGATAAAATGTCGTTCCACTTTAACATATTTTGTTCTATCATGTTGGACTAGGTTTTGTGCAATCTCTATGGCCGATTTATTATCACAAAACAAATTCATTGCGGAATCGGATGGATAGCTAATTTCTTAAAATAACCTCTTAAGCTAGAGAAGTTCACAAAGTCCCTTAGCCATGCTTCAGAACTCAGCTGCTGCAGTAGAGAATGCGACCACCTTTTGTTTCTTGCTTCTCCAATTGACTAGATTTCCACCCAAAAAGGTGAAATACCTTGATGTAGACTTTCTGTCAGTAATACTTTTGGCCCAGTTTGCATCCGTATAACCATTAATATTTAAATAGTTATATTCCTGAACATAAGTCTTTTTTCTGGGGAAGACTTCATGTGCCTTAAAATTCAAAACACAGCATTCATATGATCTTCCCTAGGATTATACATGAACTGACTCATCAAACTCACAGCATAAGCAGTATCTAGTTGTGTATGAGACAAGTAAATTAATTTTCTCTCGAGTCGTTGGTACCTTTCTTTATTCATGGGTATTTGGTTCAAGTGTTCTCCAATCCATGATTTGGAACCATTGGTGTGTTTGCAGGCTTACAATCAAGCATTCTTGTTTCGGCCAGCAAATCAAGTATGTATTTCCTTTGCAATAGAAATATACCTTGATTTGATCGAGCTATTTCAATTCCCAAAAAATATTTTAATCCCCCAAGGTTCTTCATTTCAAACTCAGTTGCTAGATGTTCTTGCAAACTAGTAATCTCTTCTTCACCATTTCCTGTAATTATCATATCATCAACATAAAGTATTAAAGCTACCATCCCTCGTCAATGCTTCAAAAAGAGAGTATGATTTGAATTGCTCTACTTGAATCCATGTTTCTTCCTTGCCAAACTAAATCATCCAAACCATGCTCTAGGTGACTGTTTTAGTCCATAAAAAACCTTCTATAACTTGCATGCAACTCTTGTTTGTAATGAAGTAGTAAAGCTTTGAAGAATGTCCGTGTAAACTTCTTCTGCTAGATTCCTATGAAAGAAAGCATTTTTTATGTTGAACTGATGTAATGGCCAATCCAAATTTGCAGTAAGAGACAACAAGACTCTGATTGTAATACCGGAAAAAAAAAGGGATTATTTTAAGTATTTTTATAAGTGGGAAGACTCTTTAATAAAGAATGAGAAATACAGAGGACTTATTGATAAATAACTCAATTTTTTATTAATAGAGTTAACTTTTCAGTTTTCGATCGACGATTAATCGAAAAAAAAAATAGAAACTTATTTCTCATATGTTTCTTATACAAAAAGGATCAATTGAAGGATTCCAAGTGAAGGAAAAGAACAAATCTACAAGGAGAAATTGTCTGTTAGAGGTGAGTAAATAATCTCTTTCAATTTTGGAGTATTAATGGTTAAGTCTTAAGGTGTAATTTATAATCGAGAAATCCTAAAATTTTAGGGTTTCCATTATCCCTCTTTGGGCAGATGATTTAGACTTTAATTAGGGTAATTAAGTGTTGAAAAAGTTGGTAATGTGAATTTTTGCTGAAACAGAAATTTGATTGGAATAGAAATGAAAATTTTTGTTTCGTATAAATCCTGATATGAATTTTGTGTTTGTAGTGATGAATTAAGGTTATATTCTGTATTAAAGGGTTAAATACTACTACGATTATTATATATGGTTGGAAAGCATGTTGAATCTACTTTCTAATGAAACAAACGGGAGTTGAATTTGAGTTCTCTATGAAAAGTTATCCAATTTTTAGCTAAAGATGTGCAGGCTGCTTAGTAGCAGCAGTAAAGAGGAATTACGAAATTTCTCTTAATTTTTATACAAGAATTTATAGATTAAGCCATATATGTTTGGAAAGCTTATTGAGTCTACTTTTCAATGAACTAATTGAATTTGGAGTTACCTATAAATAAATACATAATTTTTATGAAAAGGTATATAGGCTGTCTGGTAGCAGCATATGACATGGATTACAAAAATTGTTATAATTAATCCACAAGGAATCACGAGATGGACCATATATGGTTAGAAAGCTTGTCAAGTCTAGTTTCTAACGCATTAAAAAGATTTTAATTCCGAATTGGATATCTTGAGTTATGGTCGTTTTAGTGAAAGTAACGCAGACTGCCAGAATTAATTAAAACTCAAGTTATTACTTATTTAACTTAATTGTTTTAGTATAAGTGGCCTCAAATGGGTTGATTAATATTGTTATGTTGGAATTATCTTGAATAGGCCACTAAATTTTTAGGGAGAAAAATTAAGCGGTGGAATCAGAAGAAGGTAAGTAGAATCTCACATACTTTGCTTATTTTCGAATATATGTATATATGTATATTTTTAAATGAATGAATATTTTATTTCATTATTTTCAGTGTATGAAAATAGGATCAAGCATATGATTATTTTGTATTTCTCTATATAAATGATGGATTATGCTTATGAATGAAATGAGAAAATGATTTATGTTTAAAGAATGATTTTGTGATGGCTACGTTTTTACATTTTTGGAAAATGGGATCATCGACACCAAAACTAGTTCTACGACCCTGACTAATGGGTAATAGTAGTTAATAAAGACATGATCATATGACCTTGCTAACGGGTAATAGTAGTTAGAGTAAGACCTTGACTAACGGGTTATAATAATTAGCAATGATCATGAGGATAAAATTGTCGATACGATCAATGTCACAAGTTATAACAGTGACCGTAGCTAATGATAAATGATTGTTAATGATGATTTATGATTATGATGACTTATGATGATTTTAATAATTGATTCATGATTTGGTTTGATTACGATATTTGAATAGTAACATTTTTACAATGATTTATGAATTTACGAAATGTTTAACAGAACAATGATATTGAAATGTTTTGACATTATGATTTGATGAATGTTTTGAATGATCTATATGACATGTATGAAACGATGTTTGATCTGGTAAAGTGTGTGAACCTTTACTTACTGAGCTGTGGTTTGCTCATTCCCTATTTTCCTTTCTTTTACAGATGTTATGAATGATAAGTATGATTAGCTTGGAAAAAGCTAGAAGAATCGAGCATTGGAGAACTACTTAGAAATATGGGATTTTATGAAGTATTGTTTATTTTAGTTGTAATACTCGACTTTGAACTTTTAGAGACTTGTTATCTAGTTATGTTACTTAATGAGAACCTTTTATATTTGAGAGTTGTTCAATGATTATAGATTATGCTTCGTATTGCTTTGAGGTTTTATTTCAAAGTAATATGACCATGTTATGTCTCGATTCGAGGTGTGATATTGATATTGTTTAACTTTGCTACTGGTGGGAATGTTTCTTGATAATCTATACCATATGTCTGAGTATATCCTTTTGCGACAAGTCTTGCCTTGTATCTCTCTATTGACCCATCTGCCTTGTGTTTAATAGAGAAAACTCATCAACATCCCACTATTTTCTTCCCTTCAAGTAGCAGCATGAGTTTCCATGTGTTATTCTTTTCCAATGTTATCATCTCTTCAGTTATTGTTTGGATCCATTTAGGATCATTCAAAGCTTCTTGTACAGTATTCGGAATATGCTTAGAACATAGCTTGTGCACAAAAGCTTTGAAGGGTGGTGACAATCTTCGGGTGCAGACATAATTTGCGATTTGATACTTCGTCTTCTTTTCTCTAATGTCTGATGAGTACCGATTTGATGGTTGCCCACGGTTATGTCTGAAAGGTAATTTAAAGCCAATAGATTCATCAACAGTATTATTAAGAGAAGAGTTTAGAGATTGAACCTCAAGAGTATTCTCAAGAGTGTGGTCGTGTACTAAAATGTGAGAAGTAGGCTGTTCTTGCTTAGTTGGGAACTGCTTTTGTTCGCTTCTAGTGTCAGAATCATCATTTTCTTCTTCCTGGCCTGTTGGCTTCATTATCTGTTCCATAGAAGCCTCTTGATCACCTTGAATATCATCATGCCTTGGTTGAGTTCTAACCGAAATAGATAGTGGTTGAGTTATCTCTAAGTTGGTATCCTCAAAACCTGAAAGGTTTTCCCAATTGCCGGTATTCTGCTTTTCACATAATACCTTTCTCGGAAGAGAAAGATGGGAATTTGATTTTGGAAAGAAGTTTTTAGATTCTAAAAAGATGACATCTATTGTAGTATAAAAACACTTGATAGTGGGATCATAGCATTGATAGCCTTTTTTTATGTGCTATATATCCTAGGAAAACACAACGAACAGCACATGGATCCAATTTTGTTCGCTGGTTTTTATGAAGGTGAACGTAAGCAACACAACCAAAATTTTTAGGTGGAAGCATCAAGATAGCAGGTAATGGCACATGATAAGCAAAAGCTTGTAATAGAGATTTAAAATTCAAAACTTGAGATGGCATTCAATTTAACAAGTAAACAACAGTGACAACTGCATTTGCCCAATATCGTTGGGGTGCACTTGCTGATGATGAAAGAGCTCAGGCTGTTTTAAGGATGTGTTTGTTTTTCCTCTCTACAACGCCATTTGTTGTGGTGTTTGAGTACAAATGGTTTCATGAAACAAACCATGTTCTCGAAAATATTCCTGTAACTCCTTGTCATATTTTCCACCATTATCAGATCTAAGAATTTAGAGTTTAGCAAAAAATTGTGTCTTGATCATATTATGAAAAGAACGAAAAGTTCAAAACACCTTGTTCTTATTTTTTAACACATAAAGCTATGTCATGCGTGTGCAATCATCTATAAAAGAAACAAATCATCTAACTCTTGAGGAAATTAGAATAGGTACCGGACCCCAAACATTCGAATGAATTAATGTAAATGGTGTCTTACATCTTTTCAAATTTATTGGATAAGATATACGATGACTCTTGGCTAAAATACAAGTCTCACATTTAAAAGTAGATTCATGTGGATTAGAAAACAAACTTGGAAACAAATGCCTCAAGTACAAAAAAGACGGATGGCTCTGTTGACGATGCCATAACCAGATCTATCGTTCTTGGTCACTAGTTCGATCCACAGTATTAGCTTGGCCAAGATTGAAATCGTCCATGTAGTACAATCCTTCTCTTTTAGTACTGCAACCAATGATCTCTTTGGGAAGAATATCCTAAACTAGACAAAAACTCGAATACATGAAGACACAACAATTTAAATCCTCAGTAACTTGGCCTATAGATAATAACTTATTCAAAAGGGGTGGAAGCAGTAGAGTATTTGGTAGACTAAAATAAGGTGAAGGTGACACTTTTGTAGCCCCTTGGGTATGCCAACACATGTTCGTTTTGGTTGAGTAGTTTTAACAAAGTCTTGTGGATCGAATGCTATGTGATCAGTTGCCTCTGAATCAATAATCCAATCACAATTAACTGAATCATTTAAAGTTACAGATTTGTTTGCAACAGCAGCAGAGATATTCCCTTGTGAAGAAAAGTTCCCTTCTGGTATAATGGATACTTGAGATTCAGTGTTCATGAATGCAGCTCAGTAATTATTTTCTCCTACATCAGCTTCACGTTTCTTCCTTGCCTTGAGTTCATGCCACCACTTTTGATATCCATGTAGTTTAAAACACGTGTCTTTAGTATGTTTCATATTTCCACAGTGTGTGCAGCCTCGTTTTTCTCCTTATGACTTTGGCTTTGACTTTGTTGGTGTATTAGACTTTTCATTTTGAAGTGAGAGTTGGTGTTGTGATTTTTGTCTGCTTTTTGACAGCATAACTGTTAGTGTGTCAGTGGTTGAAGCAACTAGGTATGGCATTTCTGCTGGAACTTTGTAACAGGTTCTGCCATCTGATCAGTTTAGGTAATATGATGATCTCTGCATGGTGATCCATGCTATTAGGCAAACAACTTTTGTAGTAGTTAAACAAACTTTTGTATTTTTGAAGCCTATAAATTAATGAAATGAAGCTCATGATCTGAAGAGCCAATTTACTTCAAGTGACAGATTAGTTTTTGCTATTTTTTTGTTCTTCCTTTGCTCTAAATCCTTCAATTGGTATCAGAGCATTCTTTAAGGTCTTAGAGGATCTGTGAGTTCCAAAAATTGAGTGAAAAGCCATCAAACACTTACCAGCCAGTTTTTGTCAACCTTAAATGGCCTCAAGCAATTGCTCCTTACCTCCACCTCCTATTTTTTCTGGTGAGAACTACCAAATATGGGCTGTCAAAATGAAGACCTATTTGAGTGCTTTTGATTTGTGGGAAGTTGTGGAAAATGAGAAGGAACCACCACAACTTCCTGCAAATCCAATAGTAACTCAAATGAAAAATTATAGTGAAGAAAAGGCAAAGAGGTACAAGGCTAAAAGCTGTATTGAGTCTTCAGTTTCTGATGATATATTCATTAGAATCATGACTTGTGAAACTGCAAAACAAGCTTGGGATGTGCTCAAGGAAAAGTTTCAAGGCAGTGACAAGATAAGACAAATGCAAGTGTTGAATCTTAGAAGAGAGTTTGAAGTCTTAAAGATGAAGGAGTCTGAAAATTTAAAGGAGTACAATGACAGACTCATGAAGATAGTAAACAAGATTAGATTACTTGGTAAGGAGCTATCAGACAAAAGAATTGTAGAGAAGGTTCTTGTTAGCTTACCAGAGAGGTTTGAGTCAAAAATCTCATCCCTTGAAGACTCTAAGGACCTGACCAAGATAACTCCAGTAGAATTGTTCAATGCTTTATAAGCTCAAGAGCAAAGAAGGGTTATCAGACAAGAGGATTCAACAGAAGGTGCTTTTACAGCCAAGGAGAAAGGCAAGATGCAAACAGAAAGCAAAGGCAAAAAACAAGGAGATCAAAGAAACAAAGGTTCTAGAAACAATGAAAAGAAAAAAAAATTCCCACATTGCTCTCACTGCAAAAAGACCACTCACTTGGAGAAATATTGTTGGTACAGACCTAACATATAATGTAGGTACTATAAGCAGCTTGGTCACATGAAGAAGGTATGTAAAAATAAAAAACAGCAGTAGCCAGATCAATAAGCAAGAGTTGTTGACAATCAACAACAGCTAGAAGAGCAAGTTTTTGTTGAAACTTGCTATGGAACCAGAACCTCCTCCAATGCATGGCTCATTGACAATGGCTGCACACACTATATGGCATCTGATATCAACATATTTAAAGAACTAAACAAGACCTGCACCTCTAAAGTCAGAATAGGTAATGGTGATTTCATAGAAGTCAAAGGAAAATGAGTAGTGGCAGTTGAGACACCAACAGGTACCAAACTCATTTCAGATGTGTTATTGTGCCTAAAATAGATCAAAACCTGTTAAGTGTAGGACAGTTGCTAGAAAATAACTACTCTTTAGTTTTCAAAGACAAGGCATGCATAATTCATGATCCCACTGGCCATGAACTCTTTATTGTTAATATGAAAGAAAATGTTTTTCCTTGAATTGGCATGAAGCAAACTCCTCTGCATATGCTACTTCACATGATGAATCTTCTTTATGGCATAAAAGGATGGGACATTTCAACTACAATGCATTAAATTTCATGCATAAAAATGATCTTGTATTAAACATGCCTACTGTTGAAGTCAATGTTAGAGTGTGTGAAGTCTGTCAGCTAGGAAAACAAAGTAAGTTACCATTTGCAATTAACAAAGCATGGAGGGCAATTGAAAAACTACAACTTGTTCATAATGATCTTTGTGGTCCTATGAAAAACTTCTCCTTGAATGGCAGTAGATATTTCATTGCTTTTATAGATGATTTTACTAGAATGTGTTGGATTTATTTCATGAAACAAAAGTCTGAAGTTGCAAATGTATTTTGGAAGTTCAAGGCTTGGATTGAGAATCAAAGTGGCTGCAAAATCAAGATCATAAGGTTAGACAATGGTACTGAATACACATATGACAGATTTAATGAGTTTTGTGAAGTTGCAGGAATTGAACACCAACTGACAGCAACTTACACTCCACAACAAAATGGAGTCAGTGAAAGGAAGAATAGAACAATCATGGAGATGGCAAGATGAATGTTGTTTGAGAAGAATCTTCCAAAGAAATTTTGGACAGAGGCAGTCAATACCTCTATCTACTTGCTCAACAGGCTGCCCACAAAAGCTTTGAAAAGAAACATTCCTTTCGAAGCCTGGTATGGAAGCAAACCATCAGTGCACCACCTCAGAGTTTTTGGTAGCATCTGTTATGTGTTCATTCCTGATATCAAAAAGGACAAGCTTGATCAAAAAGCAAAAATATGTATTTTTTTGGGCTATAGCAACATCACCAAAGGTTATAAGACTTACAATCCACTTACAGGCAAGATGATTGTAAGTAAGAATGTGAGATTTAATGAGCAAGCTGCCTGGAATTGGGAAAAGTCAAAGGGAGAATCAGTCAAGCAAATTGTTGCAGACATGATAAGCTTCCAAGATCAAGAAGATTATATGTTTGAAAATGAAATCATTGATCATGAACCAGTGAGAGGAATCGGGCCACTCACAGATATTTATCAAAGATCAAATGTTGCCATTCTTGAACCTGTAAGCTTTGAAGAAGCTGTCAAATTTTCAGAGTGAAGAAATGCCATGAAGGAGGAGATTCAAATGATTGAGAAAAATCAAACATGGATGCTGGTTGACAGACCAAGCAACAAAAACATCATTGGTGTTAAATGGATTTTCAGAACAAAGTTGAATGCTGATGGTTCCATCAGCAAACTTAAAGCTAGATTGGTAGCTAAAGGCTACTCCCAACAGCTTGGTGTTGATTTTTCAGAGACATTCGCTCCAGTTGCAAGGTTGGACACCATAAGGCTGCTATTAGCCTTAGCAACTCAGCAAAGTTGGAAAATATACGAACTTGATGTCAAATCTGCCTTCTTAAATGGTTATCTTGAGGAGGAGATCTACATTGAACAACCTGATGGTTTTGTTGCCAAGAGACATGAAGGCAAAGTCTATTTACTCAAGAAGGCTTTGTATGGATTAAAACAAGCTCCAAGAGTGTGGAATTCCAGAATTGATGATCATTTACTGAAGTTAGGATTCAAGAAAAGCCTCAGTGAAGCAACATTGTACATTAAAGTTTTTAATAGTAATGATTTGTTGATTGTTTCTTTGTATGTTGATGATATTTTGGTAACAGGTAGCAAATCAGCTCTTGTGGAAGATTTTAAGCTCCAAATGCAAGAAATTTTTGAGATGACAGATATGGGAGAAATGTCTTATTTTCTTGGAATGGAGATTCATCAAGACCAGCAAGGAATCTTCATTTGTCAAAGAAAATATGCAAATGAAATCCTGAATAAGTTTGGGATGGACAATTGCAAACCAGTCAACACTCCTTTGGCTCAAAATGAGAAACTTACTAAGGAAGATGGAGCTAACAAAGTTGATGGTTGTATTTATAGAAGCTTGGTTGGTTGCTTATTGTATTTGACAGCAACAAGGCCAGACATCATGTATGCTGCAAATTTACTCTCTAGGTTCATGCAAAATCCTAGTGAGTTGCATTTTAAGGCTGCAAAAAGAGTGTTGAGATATGTCAAAGGAACCAATGAACTTGGAATTTGGTTCAAGAAGAATGACAGTTCAAGATTGGTAGGATTCACAGATAGTGACTGGGCTGGCTCTCATGAAGACATGAAAAGCACTTCAGGCTATGTGTTTTTCATTGGATTAAATGTGTTCAGCTGGAATTCAAAGAAACAAGGAACTGTGGCTCAATCAACAGCAGAAGCAGAATATATAGCTGCTGTTAATCAAGCAATTTGGCTAAGGAAAATTTTGTTGGATTTGAGTCAAAAGCAAGATGATCCAACAGAAATTTTTTGTGATAATCAGTTAGCAGTTGCAATGGTCAAAAACCCTGTGTTTCATGGAAGAACTAAGCATATTAAGATCAAATATCACTTTATTAGAGAAGTTGAAGCTGAGAATGAAGTGAAACTGGTGCATTGCAAGTCAGAAGATCAAATTGCAGATATTTTGACCAAAGCCTTACCAAAGGCAAGGTTTGAAACATTAAGGAAAAGTCTTGGTGTTTCCAGCAGAAATACCAAGGAGGAGTGTTAGTGTGTTAGTGGTTGAAGCAACTAGGTATGGCATTTCTGCTGGAACTTTGTAACAAGTTCTGCCATCTGATCAGTTTAGGTAATATGATGATCTATGCATGGTGATCCATGCTGTTAGGCAAACAACTTTTGTAGTAGTTAAACAAACTTTTGTATTTTTTAAGCCTATAAATTAATGAAATGAAGCTCATGATCTGAAGAGCCAATTTACTTCAAGTGACAGATTAGTTTCTGCTGTTTTTTTGTTCTTCCTTTGCTCTAAATCCTTTAATAACTGCACTGAATGTGGTATCTCCATCTTTTTTTGTTAACATCACTGCTTGCCGTAGATCTTCCTTGCGGACAAGTGCATAAACATGCTCTACTGTAGGAAATGGTTGAATTTGAAGTACATCTCCTTGAATTTTGTCAAGTCGATCATCCAGTCCATCCAGGAAAGTATAAACTCCATCTTAGAGTTATACTTTTGTATGTTAGTTTCACATTTCATCGGATTTGGGCGGCTAAAATCAATTTCTCTCCAAAGGTCTTGAAGATTGTTGTAGCCGTCTTGTTTGAGCCTCATCTCCTTTCTTCTTAGATCATAAACTTGTGAGGTGTCAGTGCCATAAATATATGTCGCAGCAACAGCGTCCTAAAAAGCTTTAGCCGTTGGAAATCTAATATAGTTGCCGATCAATTTTGGATCCATGGGATTGATCAACCAGCTTTTCACCACTGCATTTTCAATTCTCCATTTCTTGAAAGCGGAATCATTCTCTTATGGTTATGGAAGATCCCCATTTATATATCCCAGTTTGTCTTTGTTGGAGATGTACATCTCGACAGCCTGGGACCAAAGGCCATAATTGATATCGTCCAATTTAATACCAATCGTTGCTCCACCAAATTCGTGACCTAATGGAGTCGCTGTCTAATTCAACATCTGTGATATTTTAGAGGTCAAGTCTGCAAGGATTGCATTCTCTTCTCGAGTACTCTTTATCAAAGAAGAATGTTCTTCCATTGCTCTCAATGGTTTCACAAAGTCTTAGAATCTACGCCCTGATACCAGGTAAAAAAGATATCACTCTTTAATATATTTGATATACAGGTGAAGCCATATATACAATTTACAAAAAAGCTATTCTAAAAAGGCTACAACAAATACACAAATCTAGCCTAGAATAATAATAAATCAAATATTACAATTACACAAATCTAATCTAGAATAATGATAAATCAAATATTAAATATCTAATTTAAATTTCCCTATAATCTCTCCTTCAACCTACAGCTCATGCTAACATTAATGTCAACTAGATTCCCGAGAACCACATCAAATGGCCATGTCCTTTGCCAGTAATGTTTGAATTAGTATAACCTGTGCAAGAACAGTTCTTCAAGCACTCTTTCTCGCAGCCCTTAGTGCTCATGGTCTTATTCAACCAGAAGTCCAAAAGGTCGGGCAATTCAGCACGCCAGACCAATTAAGCAATTCCCATTCTGCTGGCGCTCTTGGGGTAAACCCCCTTAGACACTCACAAATCGGTTCGTTCTGAGCTCTGCAGATGCTATTTGCTCTACACTGCCCATAACTGTCTCAAAGGTCATTTGGTTCTGTGTAGATTATGGCCCATTCTGTGGTTGCATTACTTCATAAATAGTAGTGAAGCAGACCAGGAGTATTAAGGGTTATCCTCCTATTAACCAAGGGGCTTTCTGGTTGATGCATATGCTCATATTCATCCATATGGTACATTAACTTCATAGTGAAATATGGTTCAGAGAATGGAAGTAGACCACCGAACCGAAGTCCATTCCATGACCCAGTTCGGAAACTTTTTGATTGATCCCATACTTAGAACCTGTTGAGGTAACTCAGGATTTTCATTTCTGTAAGCATAGTCTCCTAAAGATGGATCATCCAGGCTTTTCCATGATGTCAAACCAGTGTTGAAGTCATTGGTGATCCTCATACCCGGTAACCAGATGTTGGATGGGTAGTCGAAGCTTTGCCACAAGTAACTTTCAGAAGAATCAGAACTCACCATGGCATTGTCTTTAACAACAAAGTTTCCTGAATCTAAGAGCTGTGCAATTGGACTTTCTGCTACTTTGGTTGTATTTGAAGACCAAATAACACTATTTGTGTGGTTGGAAAGAAGTAGTCCATTTGTGGTAAGAGCTAGAAAACCATTTGAACTAGTAATTGGGATGTTCCTGTTTGCAACCCAAGTAACCGTCTCTGGGTTTGCTTGTACCATATCCCCAAGTACCTGATCTTGGAATTTCCAGGAGAAAAGAAGCCAAGCTCAAAGCTTTGCCCTGGGGAGACTAAAGCCTAACCATCACTCATATATTGTCTTTCAAGTAAGGTATCTAAAGCCATAGAAAAATGAAGGATTTCTGAAAGAGAAATAAGGTACAAAAGAAGGGGGAGAACTGATAACCCCCATTAATAATATTTCCAGTGGATGAAGGTAGAATATGATCAGGTTCTAAGGAACCATGTATTTGGTTTTCATCGGAAAAGAAACTGAAATCGTACGGTTGTTAACGTTGATAGAACTGTTGATTGACTTATTAATTTCAAGCCAACCAACATTGACTTTGCACGAGTGCGAGGTCAAGATTCATTTGTTGATTATATATGCACCAGATTCTGTGCATAGTAAAGCAAATTTTCGGTGCACATGCACCAAATGGACTCTGGCACCCTTCTCCTATAAATGCCCTATTTTGGTTAGCTTTGGTACGGAGAGGTTTTGGGAAAGCCATATTTCCAGTGTTATTTCGTCTTGATCGTCTTGGCTGCTGGCCAAGCTTTTAAGTCAAACAATTCCAGTTGCCTGGTTTGAGCTATTTTTACAAGAACTACCTAGCTTTCGTAAAGTTTCTAAATCAAAAACAAATGATTAATTCCAAGTTCATCAAGAAATCGCCAAGGGATTTTTTCATTAAACAAATATATATGACCAATCACTTTCCATCATTGCTCACTACTCCACCAAAATCCAGTAAATCTGAGAAAAAAAAAAGATTCTTAGGAAGTCATCTTGCACAAACTTTATAAAGCTACCCTTACACCAACTTGTCATTGAGGAGAGATCCTAGTTTTTTTTTTGGAGAAAAAAATTCAGGAAAATATGTTGCTCTTACTCCACTCCAAGTTAGAGCGAAAATGTTCAATTTCTCTACTCAACTTTAGATGAGGTTTATATTTTGGATTGTGCCAATAAAAGGCCAATTATAGTCGAACTCATATCCACTTAATTTGAGACAAATTAGGCCACCAATAGAGCCTACCCCTTTGTCAATCATTTTCCTCTCACTTTAGTTCTCCAATACTGAAGCTCCGAAAGAAAACATCAACGGCTAAAAAACAACCTTTACTGAGCATGAAAATTTCACGACAAGAACCTGTCTTCATCATGATATGACAGTACAAAGAATTGTCTTAAATTGGGTTTTTCTGAATTAAAATTCTAACTTGTACGGTTTACTTGCAAGATGGGGCTTAGAAGAATACACACAAATTCATCTGATTGAATGGCCCCAAATTACTAAAAGTTTTGGACTTTCAAATTAAACACGGTACTTCTTTTCATTGGAATGGCAGGACAGGAAAACGAAATAACCTAAGATTGTTCACAGACAACCCCATATCTGAAGCACAAAAGGTGGTACTAATATATATTATCTCTGCTCAATTCTTTTTATTTAGAAAAATTTTATGTCCGCTTTGAGCCGGTGATTATCACAATTTTTCCACAGAATGTGTTTCAAAAAGTATGGCTTCAAAACTTCAAACTTCGTATGTAGACAACAATTAAATCTTACAAGCTCCTATACAAAATTGGGATGCCACAGCTTATGATCTCCGTGATTAAACCTTAGACGAAGATTATCTCATAAGTCCCCACTTTTATATCATAGAAGATTTTTACAAATTCTGGATGGAATATCGGAGGCGTCACACTAAGATTCGGTCTTTTACTTTTATTTATATCTTCACCCTTACGCCACCACCCCATTTTAATGCTTTAACCCTACTTATGTTTCACAGGTCCGTTTACCTATGATTATGTGCATGTGTTATGAACTTAAGAAAAAATCTTGAATCTCACATCGAACATAATAGAAAAATCATTGGGGTATAAAAAGGGTTCACACCATTTTCATCTTGTAAGGTATATTTTGTAGGATAAAACCGTGAGGTCAAGGAGGCCAGAACGGACAATACCTCATAAGGGTGTGAACCGTGGCGGAAGGTTGATCTGAAATGCCGGAAGGGTAAATGCTAGAGTCTCGGAGCCGCGCGAGTTTGAAGTTTAAGTCTCGACCCATGACAAGTGGTATCAAAGCCAGCCTTAAACCGTGACAAGTGGTATCAAAGCTAGCCCTAAACCGTTCGATTCACGCCAAGCACCTCAAGGGAGGCAGGCAAGGTGGTCAGCCCCGTGACAAGTGGTATCAAAGCCAGCCCTAAATCGTTCGATCCACGCCAAGCACTTCAAGGGAGGCAGGCAGGGTGGTCAGCCTCGTAGTCTCGACCCAACACCTCAAGGGAAGCAGGCAGCCTCGTAGTCTCGACCCGTGACAAGTGATATCAAAGTCAGCCCTAAACCGTGACAAGTGGTATCAAAGTCAGCCCTCAAGTGATATCAAAGTCAGTGGTATCAAAGCCAGCCCTAAACAGTGACAAGTGGTATCAAAGTCAGCCCTAAACCGTTCGATCCACGCCAAGCACCTCAAGAGAGGCAGGCATGGTGGTCAGCCTCGTAGTCTCAAGGCAGGCAAGGTGGTCAGCCCCGTGACAAGTGGTATCAAAGCCAGCCCTAAACCGTTCGATCCACGCCAAGCACCTCAAGGGAGGCAGGCAGGGTGGTCAGCCTCGTAGTTTTGACCCAACACCTCAAGGGAGGCAGGCAGCCTCGTAGTCTCGACCCCTGACAAGTGATATCAAAGTCAACCCTAAACCGTGACAAGTGGTATCAAAACCAGCCCTCAAGTGATATCAAAGCCAGTGGTATCAAAGCCAACCCTAAACCGTGATAAGTGGTATCAAAGCCAGCCCTAAACCGTTCGATCCACGCCAAGCACCTCAAGGGAGGCAGGCAGGGTGGTCAGCCTCATAGTCTCGACCCATGACAAGTGATATCAAAGCCAGCCCTAAATCATTCGATCCACGCCAAGCACCTCAAGGGAGGCAGGTAGGGTAGTCAGCCCCTCGTCATGAGGTTGGGTGCGGGAGAATGTCACGGACCTAAAGAAGAGTCCTGAACATAATAGGAAGGTCCCTAGGGTATAAAAGGGTTCACACCACCTCCGCCTGTGTGAAACGCCTTTTGTAAGACAAAACCGTGAGGCCAAGGGGGTCAGAGCGGATAATACCTCACAAGGGTGTGAACCGTGGCGGTAAGGTTGATCTAAGACGCCAGAAGGGTGCATGCCCGGGTCTCAGAGCCACGCGGGTTCAGAGCTTAAGTCTCGACCCGTGACAAGCGATATCAGAGCCAACCCTAAACCGTTTGATCCACGCCAAGCACCTCGAAGAAGGTAGGCAGGGTGGCTAGCCTTCATGACGAGGGCGTCACGAGGTTGGGTGCGGGAGAATATCACGGACCTAAGGGGGAGTCCTGAATCCCACATCGAACATAATAGGAAGGTCATTGGGGTATGAAAAGGGTTCACACCATCTCCGTCTTGTGAGGCGCCTTTTGTAGGACAAAACCGTGAGTCCAAAGGGGCCAGAGCGAACCGTGAGTCCAAGGGGGCCAGAGCGAACAATACCTCACAAGGGTGTGTGTAATGCCCTCAATCTCACATCAGGAGGATGTGTGGATAAGGAATTATATATATATGTAGAGACTTAATCTCAAATTTGTGAGGCGCTTTTTGTGGGACAAAACCGTAAGACCTTCGGGTCAAAGCGAACAATACCTCGTAGGTTGGGTGCGGGTCTCTACAAATGGTATCAGAGCGGTTATCAGTCCACAGTCATGGGAGTCACTAAGTGCTACACGGTGGAACCGTTTTACACGATGGTCTGATGTGATCTTAGTCCTATGGATGGACTCGGCTTGACAGGGACGTCAAGCATTAAAGGTGGAGAGATTCTAACGCCCCCAATCTCACATCAGGAGGATGTGTGGATAAGGAATGATATATATATATGTAAAGACTTAATCCCAAACTTGTGAGGCACCTTTTGTGGGACAAAACCGTGAGACCTTCGGGTCAAAGCGGACAATACCTCGCAAGTTGAGTGCGAGTCTCTACAAACGGGTCTCTACAAATGGTATCAGAGCGGTCGCCAGTCCACAATCGTGGGAGTCACTAAGTGTTATACGGTGGAGCCGTACGAGTCACTAAGTGCTACACGATGGTCTGGTGTGATCTTGGTCCTGTGGATGGACTCGGCTTGACAGGGACGTCAAGCATTAAAGGTAGGGAGATTGTAACGCCCCCAATCCCACATCAAGAGGATGTGTGGATAAAAAATGATATATATGTAGAGATTTAATCCCAAACTTGTGAGGCGCATTTTGTGAGACAAAACCGTGAGACTTTCGAGTCAAAGCGGACAATACCTCGCAGGTTGGGTGCGGGTCTTTATAGTGTGAACCGTGACGGTCAGGCTAATCTGAGATGTCGAAAAGATAAATGTTCAGATCCCAAAATCGCGTGAATTCAAAACTTAAGTCTCGACCTATAACACATGCATATACCAATGCATGTACCAATAACATCTTAATTGATAATATATTAAACCCTCAGTTCCAATTCCTATGAAATTTTCCTTTTGTTTTATGAACACAAATTTTGACGTTAGAATAAAAAGTTGTCCTCTAACTGTTCAATTTACTCAAAATGTCAGGTTGTGAGAAATTAAAGGTTTTCAAGTCAATAGCAGTATTCATTTTTATTCAATAATCTAAGTCAACAATAAAAATTTCACGTCAATAGCGGTCCTTTTAAGTTGACACCAAAACAAATACGGATCCAAAATTCAGAAAAATATTGTCAATAAATTGTAAAACAAGAAAAGTTTTCAAGACAATAAATTGCTGCAGAATTTGTATCTTCCTTCTTGCATTGTTATGGTTACTGCTTTTTTGGAAATTGCTTCTACTCTTTTTGATGTTGCATCCATATCATTGGAACATTTTTTTCAATGAAGTAACCAGGTTGTTTAGGTTCAGGCAATATTTCTTTGTCATATACCAGCATGGATATATACAGCGAAAAGACAATATTGGCCAGTCCTCTATGGGAATTTTTGAAGACATTGCCAAAACCAACTAAATACATTTGGCACCTGACATGAATCTTCCAGACATGAATTCATTACCCTTGTTCCACAATAACCAGGCCTAACTCAATTGCACAATATTTGGTTAGTTAATAACCACCTACAGGACAAGAGAAAGAGAGTAAGATATTACAGCAGTCAATCAACTTAATTACATATCCTACGAGTTTATAAGGTGCTGATATCCGCAATAATTATTGTGGTTAGTTTTACAATTTTTTTTTTGGTACAAATGAGGCCATAGCTTGGGAATAGGCGAAGGGATTGCAAGTACCGAAATTTGAACCCTTAAATTTGCTGGATGTCACCTCTTAAAGGTTGAGTACATGAATCAATTGAACTAATCTCTGAGTTCTTAGTTTTCCACTTTTTGTTTTGCAGCAATATGATACAAGCAAGGAAGGAAAATAAAAGGCAAACTTGTCAGGAATTACTATCTCCCTCCCAACATTGTTATAGTCACTACATTTACAGTATGCAGTTCCTCCTTTCTTGTGTCTGTATTTGCTTTGCAACTTCTATCCGTGAAGAATCCTGGCTCTTTAGGATAAGGCAAACATGCTACTTCATTTGCCAGCATAAAATTTACTGATGACATTGTTGGCCTGTCCTTGGGTAAATTTTGAACACATAATAAGCCCACTTGAATACATCTAAGAACTTGAGATTCAACAATAGAATCCTCCAAGCATGCATCTACCAGCTCCATGGCCCTTCCTTCATTCCATAGCAACCATGCCTAGAATAATAGTCATTAGAAAATCTGCCACGAAAAGGAACAAAAGCTACAAAATTATCCTGTATACTTACATGGCCCAATAGGCTATGATGGTGATCAGGATGACAGAAACTACTAATCTTTTGGCCACTTATTATCTCTAGTAGAAGTACACCAAAGCTGAAAACATCAGACTTGGCTGAAAATTTACCATTAACTGCATACTCTGGAGACATATATCCACTGCATGGAAATTCTGGAATAAGTCCTTTGGAATGCTAAAAGGCAGTGATTACAAATGATTGAACTTACAATGTTCCAACAACTCTCTTAGTTTCTGATACTTTATCATCCCCTTCAAAAGTTCTTGCCAAGCCAAAGTCTGAAATTTTGGGGTTCATGGCTTTGAGATCTCTGTGGATAATTTGGAGCTTGGAGTCTTGGTGTAGATACAGAAGTCCTCTCACAATCTGCATGATAATGTCAAAGCGTTTCTGCCATGCCAACAATACTCTCCTGTCATGATCTGCACACCACCTCTATGACTTATTATAACTTTCTCAAAATTAGGCCTTTCCAATCTTATTTGAGCTTATTGTATTGAAGATTGAGTAATCAAATATTATTTAATATGATAGGGTGCATGAAAGGTGAAGAAATCAAACCGAAGATAAAATAATCCAAGCTTTTGTTGGGCATATATTCATAGACCAAAAGCCTTTCTTCTCCTTGAATGCAGCTGCCACATAGCCCAACAAGATTTCTGTGTTGAAGTTTGGCAATTAAAACTACTTCATTCCTAAACTCTTCAGCACCTTGTCCTGAATTCTTGGACAGTCTCTTTACAGCAATTTCTTTTCCTGTTGGAAGGATGCCCTGCAAGTTGCATAGACAGAATATACAACTTACAAGATGCGAAAATTCCCTGAAACTTTTCTGACCATTGTATGGCAAGAAGTAGTGAGTCTTACCTTGTAAACAGGACCAAATCCACCAATTCCTATTAAATTTTCTTGGGAGAAACTATTAGTAGCAGCAACAATGGAAGCCAAATCAAACAACGGCACTTCTACATTATCCTTGCAGCTCTCTTGGCCTATTCTGACACTTTAGCCTCTTAAGTCTAATGTATTTGAAAAGTAGTGATGATGATTTGGTAAGGTAGGATGAATTCGTTTACCTCTTTTCCAAATTTTCTTCATAATGTAGCAGAACAAAGCAGCCAACATTAGCTTGCCTGGAATGACTGAAAGCATACAATTACAGCAGCAGGGCTGCTTCATCATGTAAATTAAAGTACAAAATTCTAGTCGAAAATTGAATAAAAAATCAAAAAACAGAATCAGCAAGGTTAAACACTTATGCTTACCTCTTTTCCATTTTTTCCTCAAGATAAAGCAAGACACCAAGCTCAAGACAAGCATTCCAGAAATGATTGAAACTACTATGATGATCTTTACTTGTTTCTTTTCGTTTGAAGCATGCGCTGATCCTTAAAGAGACAAAGTCAAGTCCAGACAATAATTTTCTTCAAATAAATTAACCTTTTCATTTTTTTTTTCAAAAATGATAATCCGTTACACGCCACCTTTGCTAAAGCATTCTTTAGGCCTAACACCTTTCTTAAATTTTTTTTTTTCTCCTTACACAGAAGAAAAGAACAATGTTTGTGTTAGTTTCCACCAGGAAATGTTGCAGGGAAGTATTATGATGTAAATTTTACAATATTATGTGCTGCTTGTTCAACTTCTTTTCTAATAATAAAGCAAATGATTCGGGTTCATATTGCAAACAGAAACTTAGTATAAGGACCAAGGCTATTTTCAGATGAAATTATGCAACAAAACAATGTGAAAACGACAACGAACGTTATATTTCTCATAGTTTACTTACCTAGTTCTGAAGATGGTACTCTTACATAGATATCATGTCCCATCGTTTGTCCTGATGGGTTTTTCATATCAATCAGGTCTCCATACCACATCAAGCAGCCCTTGTCCTGTTCATCTAATTTCGTGCTTGCATAAGCACTACAAGAGCAGTTTTTCAAGCAGTCCATCTCACATTCCATAAGATTCATACTCTCATTCAACTTGAACTCTATGAAGTCAGGCAGTTTCACCCCAACAAGTTTTAGAAACCCCTCTCTATTTTGGCAATCTGATGACGATTCTTTTACACACTTTTTAGACCAATTGCGATTATTTGAATCCATCCCTTCTGATTCAGGTCTGAACCCTTTCAGACACTCACAAATTGGTGTCTTGTTGATGTTGCAAATACCATTTGCACTACATTGGCCATATAGGTCACATTTGTCTGGCGTCGCTAAGAAAACTGTGTCCCATTTACTGCTCCTCTCATTCCATATAACACGCAGGAGGGTACCCGACTGGTCCATGGTTAATCGCGTAATAATTGGGTTGTTGAAAGGCTCATAACTGTAATAGATTTCATCCTCATTATGCACCAAATATTGAACTAAGGTGGGAGACACAGGAGTACCACCAAAGTTAAATCCATCCCATGGTCCACTGCGGAACATTTTTGCTGATCCCAAATAAGCAACTATAGAAGGCAAGCCTTGAATGCTAAGTCTGCAAGTAAAGTTTCCTGGAGATGGATCATCAGCACTTTTCCAAGATGTTAACAACCACTCTGATCCAGTTTTTAAGTTCTTTCCAAGCTTCATGCCTGGCAACAGCGTGTCTGACAGGTAATCGAAGCTCTGCCATAGATAGACCTCAACAGGTTGCATGGTTTTGTTGTCTTTAACTACTAAGTTTCCAGAATCTAAGAGTTGTGCCACTGGACCTTCTGCTTTTCTAGAGATGTTTGAAGACCAAACAGTGCTGTTTGTTCCATCAAAGAGTATCAGGTTTCCATCACTGTTGAGGGTTAAAACTCCACCTGCATCAGCAATTGGGCTGTTTCTGTTTGCGACCCACACAACTGCCCCGGAAAGATTCTTGTACCATATCCCCAGGAATCTCTTCTTTGAATTGCCAGGAGAGAAGAAACCCAGTTCAAAGCTTTGGGATGAAGAAACCAATGTCTGACCATCACTAATGGATTGTTCTGCAGCTATTGTATCAGCTGCAAATAACAACTTCATGATTGATAAAAACGTCAAAAGGTAAAAAAAGAGGCTTGTGAGAGAACTTTTCAATTGACGATTAACATTAAACAGTTGCCAGTTGTTATCCTCCATATGTATTGAACATAAAGGTAACTCATTACAGAACAGAGTTGCCTAGATTTACTTGCAAGGATTGGCAATAGAATGGACCACAATTTTATTTATTCCAGTTGATCATGTGATATTACTTTTCAAAGTCTGTATTTGACAAAACTGTATAAAATTGAAATCCCAATTAAAAAAGAAGCCCGGCACTGTTGGCTGACCTAGTATTCCACCTCTATTTCTACTTCCTATAAAAATTTCCTTTTGTTTTATGAACACAAAATTTGAAGTTAGAAGAAAAAGCTGTCCTATGACTGTTCAATTTACATATTCACAATGTCAGGTAGTGAGAAATCAAAAGTTTTTAGTCAATAGCAGTATTCATTCTCATTCAATAATCTAAGTCAACAATACAAATTTTAAGTCAATAGCTGTCCTTTTCAAGTTGACACCAAAACAAATACAAATCCAAAATTCAGAAAAATAATGTCAATAAATTGTAAAACAATAAAAGTTTTCAAGAAAATAAATTGCTGTAGAATTTGTATCTTCCTTCTTGCACAGTTATGGTTACTGCTTCTTCTGATATTGCTTCTACCCTTTTTGATGTTTCATCCACATCATTGGAACATTTTTTTTCAATGAAGTAACTAGGTTGTTTAGGTGCAGGTAATAGGTAATATTTCTTTGTGATAGACCAGCATGGATATGTACAAAAAAAGACGATACTGGCCAGTCTTGTATGATAATTTTTGAAGACATTGCCAAACCTATCTGAATACATTTGGCAACTGACATGAATCTTTCAGACATGAATTCATTACCCTTTGTTCCATAATAACCATGCCTAACTCAATTGCACAATATTTGGTTAGTTAATGACCACCTATATGACAAGAGAAAGAGAGTAAGATACAATCAGTCAATCAACTTAATTACATATCCTAACAGTTTATAAGGTGCTGATATCCATAATAATTATTGCAGTTAATTTTACAAATTTTTTTGGAACAAAAGAGGCCATAGCTTGAGAATAGGGGAAAGGGTTGCAAGTACTGGGACTTGAACCCTCAAACCTACTGGATGTCACCTCTTAAAGGTGACCATATGAAACAATTGAACTAAGCTCCAGATTCTTACATTTTTTGTTTTGCAGCAATATGCTATAAGCAAGGAAGGAAAATAAAAGGCAAACTTGTCAGGAATTACTATCTCCCTCCCAACATTGTTATAGTCACTACATTTACAGTGTTCGATTCTTCCTTTCTTGTTGCTGTATTTGCATTGCAACTTGTATCTGTAAAGAATCCTGGCTCTTTAGGATGAGGCAATTTTGCTTCTTCATTTGCCAGCATAAAATTTACGGATGACATTGTTGGCCTGTCTTTGGGTAAATTTTGAACACATAACAAGCCCACTTGAATACATCTAAGAACTTGAGATTCAACAATAGAATCCTCCAAGCATGCATCTACCAGCTCCATGGCCCTTCCTTCATTCCATAGCAACCATGCCTAGAATAATAGTCATTAGAAAATCTGCAACGAAAAGGAACAAAAGCTACAAAATCATTCCGTATACTTACATGGCCCGATAGGCTATGATGGTGATCAGGATGACAGAAACTACTAATCTTTTGGCCACTTATTATCTCTAGTAGAAGTACACCAAAGCTGAAAACATCAGACTTGGCTGAAAATTTACCATTAACTGCATATTCTGGAGACATATATCCACTGCATGGAAATTCTGGAATAAGTCCTTTGGAATGCTAAAAGGCAGTGATTACAAATGATTGAACTTACAATGTTCCAACAACTCTCTTAGTTTCTGATACTTTATCATCCCCTTCAAAAGTTCTTGCCAAGCCAAAGTCTGAAATTTTGGGGTTCATATTACTATCTAGCAGAATATTGCTGGCTTTGAGATCTCTGTGGATAATTTGGAGCTTGGAGTCTTGGTGTAGATACAGAAGTCCTCTCACAATCTGCATGATAATGTCAAAGCGTTTCTGCCATGCCAATAATACTCTCCTGTCATGATCTGCACACAACCTCCATGACTTAGAACTTTCTCAAAATTAAGCTTTTCCAGTCTTGTTTGAGCTTATTGTATTGAAGATTGAGTAATCAAATATAATTTAATATGATAGGATGCATGAAAGGTCAAGAAATCAAACCAAAGATAAAATAATCCAAGCTTTTGTTGGGCATATATTCATAGACCAAAAGCCTTTCTTCCCCCTGAATGCAGCTGCCACAGAGCCAAACAAGATTTCTGTGTTGAAGTTTGGCAATTAAAGCTACTTCATTCCTAAACTCTTCAGTACCTTGTCCTGAATTCTTGGACAGTCTCTTTACAGCAATTTCTTTTCCTGTTGGAAGGATGCCCTGCAAGTTGCTTCGACAGAATATACTTACAAGATGCAAAAACCTGCTGAAACTTTTTTGACAATTGTATGGCAGGAAGTAGTGAGTCTTACCTTGTAAACAGGACCAAATCCACCAATTCCTATTAAATTTTCTTGGGAGAAACTATTAGTAGCAGCATCAATGGAAGCCAAATCAAACAAAGGCACTTCTACATTATCCTTGCAGCTCTCTTGGCCTATTCTGACACTTTAGCCTCTAAGTCTAAATGTATTTGAAATACAGTGATGATAATTTGGTAAGTTAAGGTGAATTCATTTACCTCTTTTCCATATTTTCTTCATAATGTAGCAGAACAGAGCAGCCAACATTACCATGCCTGGAATGACTGAAAGCATACATTTGCAGCAGCAGAACAGCTTCATCATGTAAATTGAAGGACAACATTCTAGTTGAAATTTGAATAAAAAAATCAAAAAACAAAATCAGCAAGGTCAAACACTTATGCTTACCTCCTTTCCATTTTTTCCACACGATAAGGCAGAACACCAAGCTCAAGACAAGCATTCCAGAAATGATTGAAAATATTATGATGATCTTTACTTGTTTCTTTCCGTTTGAAGCACGTTCTGATCCTTAAAGAGACAATGTCAAGGCCAGACAATAATTTTCTTAAAATAAATTAGCCTTTTCTTTTTTTTTTTTTTTTTTCAAAAATGATAATCCGTAAGGCATTCTTTAGGCCTAACACCTTTCTTAAAAGATTTTTTTTCCTCATGCAGAACAAAAGAACAATGTTTCCGTTAGTGTCTACCGGGAAATGTTGCAGGGAAGTATTATGATGTAAATTTCACAATGTTATAAGCTGCTTGTGGGTTTATCAAGCTGATTTGACTTTTTTTTTTTTATAATTAAGCAAATGATTAGGGTTCATATTGCAAACAAAAACTTAGCATTAGGATCAAGGCTATTTTTAGATCAAATTATGCAACAAAACAATGTGAAAATGACATTGAACGTTATATTTCTCATAGTTTACTTACCTAGTTCTGAAAAGGCTACTCTTACATAGATATCATGTCCCATAGTTTTTCCTGATAGGTTTTTCATATCAATCAGGTCCCCATACCACATCAAGCAGCCCTTGTCTTGTTCATCTAATTTCGTGCTTGCGTAAGCACTACAAGAGCAGTTTTTCAAGCAGTCCATCTCACATTCCTTAAGAAGCATACTCTCATTCAACTTGAACTCTATGAAGTCAGGCAGTTTCACCCCAACAAGTTTTAGAAACCCCTCTCCATTTGGACAATCTGACGATGATTCTTTTACACACTTTTTAGACGAATTGCGATTATTTGAATCCATCCCTTCTGACTCAGGTCTGAACCCTTTCAGACACTCACAAATTGGTGTCTTGTTGATGTTGCAAATACCATTTGCACCACATTGGCCATATTGGTCACATTGGTCCGGTGGCACTAAGAAAACTGTGTCCCATTTACTGCTCCTCTCATTCCATATAACACGCAGGAGAGAACCTGACTGGTCCATGATTAGTCGCGTAATAATTGGGTTGTTGAAAGGCTCATAACTGTAATAGATTTCATCCTCACTATGCACCACATATGGTACAAAAATCAAGGTGGGAGAAACAGGAGTACCACCAAAGTTAAATCCATCCCATGGTCCACTGCGGAACAGTTTTGCTGATCCCAAATAAGTAACCATAGAAGGCAAGCCTTGAATGCTAAGTCTGCAAGTAAAGTTTCCTGGAGATGGATCATCAGCACTTTTCCAAGATGTTAACAACCACTCTGATCCAGTTTTTAAGTTCCTTCCAAGCTTCATGCCTGGCAACAGCGTGTCTGACGGGTAATCAAAGCTCTGCCACAGATAGATCTCAACAGGTTGCATGGTTTTTTTGTCTTTAATTACTAAGTTTCCAGAATCTAAGAGTTGTGCCACTGGATCTTCTGCTTTTCTAGAGATGTTTGAAGACCAAACAGTGCTGTTTGTTCCATCAAAGAGTATCAGGTTTCCATCACTGTTGATGGTTAAAACTCCACCTGCATCAGCGATTGGGCTGTTTCTGTTTGCAACCCACACAACTGCCCCAGAAAGATTCTTGTACCATATCCCAAGGAATCTGTTCTTTGAATTGCCAGGAGAGAAGAAACCTAGTTCAAAGCTTTGGGATGAAGAAACCAATGTCTGACCATCACTAATGGATTGCGCTACAGCAATCGTATCAGCTGCAAATGACAACTTCATGATTGATAGAAACATCAAAAGGTAAAAAAAGAGGCTTGCGAGAGAACTCTTCAATTGACTATTAACATTAAACAGTTGCCAATTGTTATCCTCCATAGGTAGTTTCAGTATTGAACATAAAGATAACTCATTACAGAACAGAGTTGCCTAGATTTACTTGCAAGGCTTGGCGCAATAGAATGGACCGCAATTTTATTTATTCCACTTGATCATGAGATTTTACTTTTTCAAAGTCTACATTTGACAAAACTGAATAAAATTGGAATCCCATAGAAAAAAAAAAAAGCTCGGCGGTTGTTGGCTGACTCAGTATTCCACTTCTGTTTAAGAAATTTAGTAACTTCGTTAATGGGTTGTCAGCTTTCAAACAAAACTAGTTGTTAGCAATTTGACCTAAATTATGATGTGCCATATTCATAGGCGAAATTAGGGGCAGCAAGGGTCATGGCCCCAGGGTAATGTTACGAATATTTTTTAAATTAAATAAGATGTTTAATACTTATAAGATAAATTTTACGAACGTACGAAAGAACATAATTTTTCATTGAGAGTGTCATGTGATTGTTTTTTAATTCTCTTTAATTTTTTTTATTTTTTTCTAAAGATATTTAAGAAAAAGATATGGGTAGTTATTGCTTAATTTAACTGAAATGAAAATGAGAAAGAGATTGGTAGAAGGTTTAAGTGGTAAATATATATTGATGAAGTTATCTCCATAGCTTTTTTAATATTGATTTAAGGACAAACGTATCAAATTATTACAATTCAATTTTTTAAATTAATTTTTAGGATAAAATGTTGCTTTTTTTTAAACGTGGTGGATTGATTGATGAATACTTTGTCAGATTTGATTTGTCATGTGGTTCTCTCCCAATATAAATGTTTTTGTATCAACCACATTTATAATGCGGATAATGTTGTGATTAATGTAATTAAAAAAGAATATTTATGATATTTAATAGTGTAGACCATGTCTATTTATTTTGAAACGTGGTTGATTCTGAATAGGTTAGATATAAGAATTGCTTTTATGTTTATAATTGTAGCATAATAATTGATGTAATTTAAAAAAAAAATTATGATAGTTAAAAGTGTTGTGCTTATGGCACAAATTTCACATTTATTAATTGAAAAACTTCTTTGATGATTTTCATAAAATCATGTCTTTTTGTATCCAATTGTGGTTGAAGGTTAGAAATAAATATTGTTTTTACTTCGCTCCTTCTGTTATAAATGTGGTGGTCAATGAATAAATACTATATTTCTTGAATTATAAATGTTGTGGTTTAAAAATGATGTTATTTTTTACAATTATATGGAGCATGAGAATATTCATTGGGAGTGCCATGTGGTTGATTAATGGTTGTCTTTTTTGTTTTTATTTTTTATTTTTTTAATTTTCTAAAGTACCATGTGTCACGTCTCTAGATCAAGACGTAACACGATCGTATTACCTTGAAGAAAATCTCAAAGTAATACGAAGCCTTTTTTCTTAAACATTTTAAAATTCTTTAATAAAACAATCTACCAACTAAAATCTATATCTTTAATCCAACTGATAATACATATTTATATATCTAAATACAAACCATATAAAATACAAAACTGTCTCTTAAAATCTCATTGGCCAACATATTCTCCAACGATATAATCTTACCCATTTCATCTTCTAGCTTAACACAAGACTAACCAAACTTATCACTTAGTCATCTGTAAAGAAAAAGTAAAAAGGGGAATGAACAAACCATAGCTCAGTAAGTATAGGCTCACACACCTTACCAGATCAAGCATCGTTTTCTTACGCATCATATAGATCATTCAAAACATTCGTTAAATCATAATGTCAAAACATCTCAACATCATCGTTCTGTCAAACATTTCGTAAATTCATAAATTAATGTCAAAATATGTCACTTTATAAATCATTACAAAATATGCTATCATTCAAATATCATAATCAAACCAAATCATGGATCAATCATTAAAATCATCATAAATCATCATTATCATTCATTTATCGTTAGCTACGGTCACTGCTATAACCCGTGACATTGACCGTATCGACAATTTCATTCTCATGTGAATCTTTGAACTCAAATGAGATGAATCTTTAAATGAGAATCTTTGAGTGTTAAATGAGAATTTTTTAATTTCAAATGAGAATCTTTGAGGTGTGAAATCCAAAATTTGTCGAATGTGAATCTTCAAATTCAAATGAAAATTTTGAATTTCAAATGAGAATCTTTGATGTGTGAAACCCAAAATTTATTGAATGTGAATCTTTAAATTCAAATAAGAAACTTTGAATTTTAAATGAGAATCTTTGAGATATGAAACCCTAAAGTTTGTTAAGATGTGAATCTTTGAACTAGAATGAAAAGCTTTGAACTTTTCGATGTGAATCTCCAAGTTCAAACAAAAAAGCTTAGACTTTTGGATGTGAATCTCCAAAATTCAAATGAGAATTTTTAAATGTTGGATGCGAGTCTTGCAATTTGCAAATGCGAATATTAAGATCTTGCAAATTTGAATCCTTATGAAACTGAATTTTGAGAATCAAATTTCAGTGAGCTCTTACGAAGCGAGAGTTTTTTGTGAATCTAAACCTTTGATTTTCGAACTTAAATTATGAATCTTTGAGTATCCATTACAAATTTTATTAAATCTAATCTATGATTCCTTTAGACATAATTGTCGAAGAGCAATTTATTTTTTTAAAGTTGTGAGCCTCTGATTAGAGAAGCCTTGTTTATTTTTTTTAAAGTTGTTAAGCCTCTGATTATAGGAGCTTTGTATTTTTTCCAAAGTCATTGAGCTTCTGATTAGAGGAACCTTGTTTATTTTTCAAAAGTCATTGAGCTTCTGTTTAGAGGAACCTTGTTTACTTGTTTAAAAACAAAATGAAAAAGATGAAGGTGTTTGGGTGATCGTATATGGGGTGTTTACCCTAAAGTTTGTTAGGATGTGAATCTTTGAACTAGAATGAGAAGCTTTGAATTTTTCGATGTGAATCTCCAAGTTCAAACAAAAAAGCTTAGACTTTTGGATGTGAATCTCCAAAATTCAAATGAGAATCTTTAAATGTTGGATGCGAGTCTTGCAATTTGCAAATGTGAATCTTGAGATCTTGCAAATTTGAATCCTTATGAAACTGAATTTTGAGAATCAAATTTCAGTGAGCTCTTACGAAGCGAGAGGTTTTTGTGAATCTAAACCTTTGATTTTCGAACTCAAATTATGAATCTTTGAGTATCCATTACAAATTTTATTAAATCTAATCTACGATTCCTTTGGACATGATTGTCGAAGAGCAATTTATTTTTTTTAAAGTTGTGAGCCTCTGATTAGAGGAGCCTTGTTTATTTTTTTTAAAGTCGTTAAGCCTCTGATCAGAGGAGCTTTGTATTTTTTCCAAAGTCATTGAGCCTCTGATTAGAGGAACCTTGTTTATTTTTCAAAAGTCATTGAGCTTCTGTTTAGAGGAGCCTTGTTTACTTGTTTAAAAGCAAAATGAAAAAGATGAAGGTGTTTGGGTGATCGTATATGGGGTGTTTACATCTTTACACAATTTTTATTGCACAAGAAATGTGTAAAGAGGGACAGCTGTAAACACCCTAATCGGTCCGAACCCAAACCCATTGGGCCTTGTCCAATAAGATTTGGGCCTAAACCCATTAGGCCTGGTTCAATCGGGCCAAGTAGTTAGGCCTAGGTGTTTGTTATTTTATTTTATTTTATTCTTATTTTTTATTTTTGTTTTATTATTATTATTATTTATTTTATTTTAGGATATTAGAAAAAAAAAAGGAAAAGATAAAATTTTACCATGTGAATGCATGCTGGTAGTTTTTTTAAGGCATTGAATTTGTTTAAGGAAAATTTGAAGTTTCTGATAATATCAAAATCTTGTCAAAGGTTGAGTTAATCAAGGATTCATCTAAATTTTCCTATAAAATTGGCACAAAGATTACAAAAAAAAAAAAGATGAGAAAAGAGAGATATCAGAAAAAAGAGAACAAAAAAGACACACACAAATAGAAAATCAGAAGTAAAAAAGAGAACAGATAGATCAAAAACACAACAAGCAAAAGGAAAAACATTTTGGAGTTTTGTTAAAGAGAAGAAAAATTTTTTCAAAAATTTTCTAGAAATTTTTCAGATTTCGACGAAATTTTTTAGCGTCGATTGAATTTTTCGACAAGTTTCTTAGAATTCAACCTAGATTCCAACGTCGGTTGAATTTTTTGGCAACATTCCAATAAACCAACCTAGATTCTGGTAACATTTTTCAGAATCTGATGGAGATTCAACCGAAATTCATCATATTCTAGAGAGAGATAAAGAAAAAAAAAGAAGAGAGAGAAAAAGAATGAGAGATCTGAAGCAGAGGGCTAAAATTTGAGTTTTTATAACCTCCTCAAAACGATGTCGTTTTGACGTTTAAAAGAGTCCAAAATCCGCGCGTTTCCACCTGGGGCGACCCGACCCATAACGCAACCCACTTCAACCTGTTCCACAAACCTTGCTACTGAGCCAAGCCGAGCCGAGCCAATTTCTCGTCGAGCCACGCCTTTGAGCCGTTTTCTGTGTCCAGAGTCGAGCCGCGCTAACCCTTAAGCCGAGCCATTTTGATTTTTTGATATTTTTTTATTTATGTGTTTGTTTATTTTTTAAGAGTATTTTTGCATGAATAAATTTTAAAAACTAATATAAAATAAAATTTTCAAAAAAATACAAAAAAATATTTTTGAGGAAAAGTTAAAAGTATCAATTTTTCTTAAAAATAAAATTTTCAAAAATACAAAAAATTATTTTTAAGGAAAAGTTGAAAGTATCAATTTTCCTTGAAAATAAAATTTTCAAAAAAAGAAAAAGCATTTTTGAGGAAAAGTTGGAAGTACCAATTTTTCTTAAAACTAAAATTTTTAAGAAAAATATTTTTAAGAAAAAGTTGAAAGTATCAATTTTTCTTGAAAATAAAAACATTCAAAGGCTTTAAGGAAAAGTTGAAAGTATCAATTTTTTTGTATAAAAGCATGAGTTTTTCTTATAAAAAATCTATATCAAAAGTTGAATAATTATTCTTTTTTTTTCCTTTTCTATTTTTGAAAAATTTTAAATGTTAAATAATCCGACGACGGAACCTCTACAAGAGAGACAGTAGTTTTTTTGCATACTCTTGAGGTAGAGGATTTTTCTTAATTTTCTGTCAAAAGTATTAGAGTTAATTAAAAATAATTTCCAATAATAATTACTTGGTAAAATTTTTAAGGTTCATCGGATAACGCGAAATTGAGCTGGTACCATCTTTCGATGAGCGTTATGAGGGTACTATAACCTTCCTCACTCGTAACCGAACTCTCAAATCATGTTCTGGTTAATAGACTTGAACCTATTCTTTTAGGGACCCTTAGTCAAGCTTAGGTGTTCATAGATTCCTTAGATGACTAATCGCACCTATATAAAAAAAAAAAAATTGATAGCAATTTCTTAAAGTCAATGTCTAGCGATAAGTCTTCGAATCTAAACGTTATGACACCGTTTTGTCTTGAAAGTCTCACGGTTTTGTCTCGTAAAAAATGCTTCACAAATTAAGATTTAGATCTCTTCATATATATCATAGCAGAACTTCATATTATCCCGTTACATAAATTCATATAGATAAATAATCATACCTAAACAAAAAAATATTAGTGACCACTATATTTTTTATATTTAATGGACAGACTTTTGCACTTAAACGTTACGACAAGAACAATACTTGATGAATGTCATGGAATGGCACAAATTTAAGGAGTTCAGATACTTATATATCCAAGAAGATGCAGAGAATCGGATTGATAAAAACCAGTATTCTTCATGCCACTCACGATTTCTTGTAGTAAGAGCCCCAAGCCAAAGACATCGAATTTTATAGAAAAAAAGAAAAAAAAGAAAAGGGCTCCAAGATAATTTACCTGGTAGACATGTCCAAAACCACCCTCCCCCAGCTTATTTGTGGCTGAAAACTTACCTGTTGCAGCAGAACCGCTTGCAAAACTGAACAATGGCAGTTTAATCGTTACGCACTTGGCCCATATTTGCCTCTGTTGGTTCAGCTTCTTCAAAACTGAACAAATCATCTATTAAGATATGCAAGACATTGCTTTACTTTTTTATGTTGAATATGGGAAAACTACTAGGAGAAGATATGAATCATTATCAAGATCTAAATGAATGTGCCCAAAAGAAATTAAGTAATGCAAATTTGTTAGTATTATGGTTTTGACTTTTGAAGAAAGCATTGGCTACCAAAGACTAAAAAATTATAGTAACACCTAATTGTTGGGCACTTTTAGATCCAAAGCAACAAACCAAATTAGCAAGAACCTCGATCCCACATTTATAATACTTTTTTTTATTTGAGTGGTAAAGAGTTTATGAGCTTCACTTCGTATATGCATTTTCTTATCAAATCGATCTAAATAGATTTATCAGCATTAAATTTAATAAATTAATAAAAAATTATTTTTTATAGTTCTAAAACGGATTCTAACTTAAGTAGTCAAGACTAACAAATTTTTTGTCACTCGAGCCAACATCAATAACATGTACAATATTTTTATTTTGTACAAATTCTATACAAATAGATTAAAATTATCCTTACATAAAACTAAAGCCTAATTCATGGACAACTTATATGTATCTTAAATTATAATTTAAGGGTTAAATTGAGTATAATATTATAATTATTTGGGTTAAATTTGATTTTGTTAGTTTTAAAATTATCATGATAATTTAAGAACCAAAATTATTTTATTAAGTTAATAATTATTTTAAAAATTAAAATTATTGTTTTGTATTTACTTATATATCAAATCTATACCCTACTATTAAGTTGTTGAATATAACAGCAAAAGAAAAACAAAACAAAGCTGCTTCTAAAAAAAATAGTAGTAATTTGTTTTTATTGTGATTATACTAAAATCTTGAGATTAAATTTCATTTAATAAGATTTGGGAGTTAAACTGATAAAAAAAAAAGTTAATGCTAGCTTTTGAAAAGATGACCTATTTTCCTATAGAAAGTCGTTCTAACTGATAACGCAAACTTTATTTTAAAAAAAAAAAAAATTCAAGACGATTCAGCCTATAGAAATTGAAAAATGTATTTTGTATTTTTCGTATTAATAAAATTATTATACGTAAATTTTATATAAATCACGACATTAATACATAAATTTTTATTATTTCATATTTTATAAATACACAAATTATCAAGTTTATAAGTGACAACATGCAAGTACTTTTCTATTAACATTTAATCCAACATAAAGCAACGAAATCTTAAAAAAAAAAAAAAAAAAAAAAAACCCTCATGTCAGTTATACACAATTCAGAAAGTGCTGAAATATTTACTACTAGTACATATTGCATCAGGAAATTGTCTTCAACTAAAAGTTACTGCTACATTTCTATCTTCCTTCCAGCACAGTTAAGGTTACTGCATTGTCTGAAACAGATTCTCCTCTCTTTGATTTTGCATCCCCATCATTGTAACTTCTTTCTATGAAGAAACCAGGTTGTTTAGGTTCAGGCAATTTGTCTTTCTCATTTACCAACCAGGATACAACACAAGACATCACCGGCCTGTCCTTTGGGAACTTTTGAACACATAGTAAACCCAACTGAATACATCTTAGCACCTGTGATGGAACATATGAATTCTCCAGACATGAATCTATTAGCTCTAGTGCCCTGTCTTTCTTCCATAGCAACCATGCCTAATTCAAATGCACAACATTTAATTAGTCACTAACAAGAAGAGAAGGAAATAAGATTACAACATTGTCAGATTGTCTAACTTACATGTCCTAGAAGGTTATGGTGGTGATCCGGATGGGTAAAACTCCTATTCTTCTTGCCATTTAATATCTCTAACAAAAGCACTCCAAAGGCAAAAACATCAGATTTGATCGAAAATTCTCCGTCCACTGCATACTCTGGAGACATGTAGCCACTGCTTGTAGTATATCTCATGAGTTATATGATTTATTAATAAGACATTTGGAGCAATGTTCAACTATGCAACTTACTATGTCCCAGCAACTCTGTTTGTTCTTGCTTTATCTTCAGCCCCTCCAAAAGTTCTTGCCAAGCCAAAGTCTGAGATAACAGCATTTAAGTTGTGGTCTAGTAAAATATTGCTGGTCTTCAAATCTCTGTGGATAATTTGAAGTCTAGAGTCCTGATGAAGGTAGAGAAGTCCCCTTGCAACTCCCACGATAATGTCCAAGCGCATTTTCCATGGCAGTAATGCACTTCTCTTTTGATCTGCAAACCATTGCAACCCTTATAAATCTCATGATTGATTTGCGGCAGTATCAAAATCTCTTTTTTCTCAAAGTTAGGTAAATGGTTTCATTGGTAAGCTTGTCTGCAAGACACATAAAGTAACATAAATAAGATGAACCCAAAAATGAATGGACAAGAAAAACAGACCAAAAATAAAATAATCTAAGCTACTGTTTGGCATAAACTCATAAACCAGAATCCTTTCTTCCCCATGAATGCAGTAGCCCAAAAGCCTGACAAGATTCCTGTGCTGAAGTTTGGCAATCAGAACAACTTCATTCTTGAATTCTTCCAGACCTTGTTGTGAATTCTTTGACAACCTTTTCACGGCAATATCTTCTCCAGTACACAGACTTCCCTGCATTTTTCATTAAATCAAGGACTTATCATGTTTCTGTTAGTACTTTTTGGCAATTAGAAGAGAACCATGGATCTTTGTACCTTATAAACTGAACCAAAACCACCTGCTCCAATCAATTTTTTTGGAGAGAAGCCATCAGTAGCTGCAGTGAGAGTTGCCAAATCAAATAAATGTACCTCTATGTCTTCGTTCTTGCATTCCATGCCTATGATCCAAGATAATTGGCCAATTGAATATTAAGTATTGAGGATAATTTTTTTTTTTTTTTGTACAATGAAATTAGAGGATGAGTAGGCTATAACCTCTTATACTTTTTCTCTTCTTCCATGTAATGCACCATCGTACCAAGCATGCTATCAGGATTCCAGCAATAACTGATACCACTATGATCACTGCCAATCTCTTTCTCACATTTGAATCACTGGACACTTCTAGAACATTCAAGAATGATAAAATTTATCATTTGGTTGGATATTTTCCCGTTTCTGTAATAAATTAATTAGAGTCTTGCTAACTGCATTCAATTTTATCACAACTCAATCCAACATTAATTCATTAGCAATGCATAAGAATTGATCAAGATAAACAAAAATAGCCTTCATGCATATACCTTAATCCATGTAATCTATGACTCCAATGACTAATATAAGAAGAGTGTCCTAGAAGCTGCACTTACCAAGTTCAGAAGAATGCAGCCGTATATAGATATCTTGTCCTGTATTCTCTTCTGTGAAACCTTTAATATCAACTAGATTCCCGAACCACATCAAACAGCCATGTCCTTTGCCAGTAATGTTTGAATTAGCATAAGCTGTGCAAGAACAGTTCTTCAAGCACTCTTTCTCGCAGTCCCTAGTGCTCATAGTCTTATTCAACCTGAAGTCCAACAAGTCGGGCAATTTAACAGGCGAAATTTTTGAAAATCCATCTCCATTCTGGCAGTTTGGAGGCATTCTCCTTCTGCATCCGCCAGACCAATTAAGCAATTCCCATTCTGCTGGTGCGGTAGGGGTAAACCCCATTAGACACTCACAAATCGGTGAGTTCTGAGCTCTGCAGATGCTATTTGCTCCACACTGCCCATAACTGTCACAAAGATCATTTGGTTCTGTGTAGATTATGGCCCATTCTGTGGTTGCATTACTGAATACATAGTAGTGAAGCAGACCAGAAGTATTAAGGGTTATCCTCCTAATAACCAAGGAGCTTTCTGGTTGATACATATACTCGAATTCATCCATATGGAAAATTAACTTGACAGTGTAATATGGATCAGACAATGGAAGTAGACCACTGAACCGAAGTCCATTCCATGACCCAGTTCGGAACTTTTTGATTGATCCCATACTTAGAACCTGTTGAGGTAACTCAGGATTTTCAATTCTATAAGCATAGTCTCCTAGAGATGGATCATCCGGGCTTTTCCATGATGTCAAACCATCATTGAAGTCATTGGTGATCTTCATACCCGGTAACCAGGTATTGGATGGGTAGTCGAAGCTTTGCCACAAGTAAATTTCAGAAGAATCAGAACTCACGATGGCATTGTCTTTAACAATAAAGTTTCCTGAATCTAAGAGCTGTGCAATTGGACTGTCTGCCACTTTGGTTGTATTTGAAGACCAAATAACACTATTTGTATGGTTGGAAAGAATTAGTCCATTTTTGGTAAGAGCTAGAAAACCATTCGAACCATTAATTGGGTTGTTCCCGTTTGCAACCCAAGCAACCGTCTCTGGGTTTTGCTTGTACCATATCCCCAAGTACCTGTTCTTGGAATTTCCAGTAGAAAAGAAGCCAAGCTCAAAGCTTTGCCCTGCGGAGACTAAAGTCTCACCATCACTCATATATTGTCTTTCAAGTAAGGTATCTAAAGCAATGGAAAAATGAAAGACTTCTGAAAGAGAAATCAAGGCACAAAAGAAGGGGAAGAACTGATAAGCCTCCATTAATAATATTTCCAGTGGATTAAGGTAGAATATGATTATACGGCTATTAATATTGATAGAACTGTTGATTGACTTATCAATTTCAAGCCAACCAACATTGAGTATGCACCGGCGCGTAGTCAAGTTGATTATATATGCACCAGATTCTGTGCATAGTAAGGCAAATTTTCGGTGCGCATGCACCAAATGGACTCTGGCACCTTTCCTATAAATACCCTACTTTGGTAAGCTTTGGTGCAGCATAAAATCGAGCAGATTGAAACAAGCGAGAGAGTAGAGTGAGTGAGCTAAAATAAAAGAAGCTCACATAGAGGTTTTGGGTAGACAGCCATATTTCAAGTGTTAATTCTTCTTAATAGTCTTGGCTGATGGACAAGCTTTTAAGTCAAACCACGTAAATTGAGCATTATTTTTCTTGTTGCCGTTTTATTTTTAAACTATCAAATAGTTTATTCAAGTTGCTTGATTTGAGCTAGTTTTACTACAAGAACTACCTAGCTTTCGTAAAGTTTCTAAATCAAAAGCAAATAATTAATTTCCAAGTTCATCAAGAAATCGCCAAGGGCTTTCATCATTAAACAAATATATATGACCAATCACTTTCCATCATTGCTCACTACTCCACCAAAAACCAGTAAATCTGAAAAAAAAAATTCTTAGGAAGTCATCTTGCACAAACTAAAGCGACCCTTAGTCCAACTTAATGGAGAAGAGATCCTAGTTTTTTTTTTTTTTTTGGAGAAAAAAGTCCAGCAAATTATGTTGCTCTTACTCTAACTCGTCCAGCAAATTATGTTGCTCTTACTCCACTCCAAGTTAGAGTGAAAATGTTCAATCTCTCTACTTATCTTTATATTGAGGTTTATATTTTGGATTGTGCCAATAAAAGACCAGTTATACTCAAACTTATGTCCCCTTATTGTGAGACAAATGAGGTCACCAATTGAGCCAACCCCTTTGTCAATTATTAACTCAGAAACTAACTTGTCTACATGGAATTAACATTAAAAATGTTTGAAATACTTAAAAAAACTACCCAACTGGTCAAGTTTTTGCGTGATGAGACCACATGGGAATGATTCATTTTACTCTCACTTTAGTTCTTCAATACTGAAGCCCTGAAAGAAAACATCAACAGTCAAAAAACAATAAAAACAACCTTTACTAAGTATGAAATTTCCACAACAGGAACCTGTCTTCATCATGATATGACAGTAAAAAGAATTGTCTTAAATTGGGTTTTTCTGAATTAAAATTCTAGTTTGTGTGGTTTACTTGTAAGATGGGGCTTCAAAAGAATACACAAATTCATCTGATTGAATGGCCCCAAATTACTTGAAGTTTTGGACTTTCAAATTAAACACGGTACTCCTTTCCATTGGAATGGCAGGACAGGAAAACGAAATAACCTAAGATTGTTCACAGTCAAACCCACACCTGAAGCACAAAAGATGGTACTAATATATCATCTCTCCTCAATTCTTTTTATTTAGAAAAATTTTATGTCCGCTTTGACCCGGTGAGTATCACAATTTTTTCCACAGAATGTGTTTGAAAAAGTATGGCTACAAAACTTCAAACTTCGTATATATACAACAATTAAATCTTACATGCTCCTGATACAAAATTGGGATGCCACAGCTTATGATCTCTGCGGTTAAAGCCTAAACGAAGATTATCTTATAAGTCTCTATTTATATATCATAGAAGATCTTTACAAATTCTCGATGTAAGATTGGAGACGTAAGGTTAAGATTCAGTTTTTTACTTTTATCTAAATCTTCACCATTACACTACCACCACATTGTAAAGCTTTAACCCTACTTGTGTTTTACAGGTTCATTCACCTTATAATTATGTGCATGCATGTACCAATAACAGCTTAATTGATAATATATTAAACCTTCTCTTCAAATTCCTAAGAAATTTTCCTTTTGATTTATGAACACAAAATTTGAAGTTAGAAGAAAAAGCTGTCCTCTGACTGTTCAATTTACATACTCACCATGTTAGGTAGTGAGAAATCAAACGTTTTAAGTCAATAGCAGTATTCATTTTTATTCAATAACAATCAAAGTCAACAATAAAAATTTCAAGTCAATAGCTGTCCCTTTTAAGTTGACACCAAAACAAATACAAATCCAAAATTCAGAAAGCATTGTCAATAAATTGTAAAACAAGAAAAGTTTTCAAGAAAATAAATTGCTGCAGAATTTGTGTCTTCTTTCTTGCACTGTTATGGTTACTGCTTTTTCTGAAATTGCTTGTACTCTTTTTGGTGCTGCATCCACATCATTGGAACATTTTTTTCAATGAAGTAACCAGGTTGCTTAGGTTCATGCAATATTTCTTTGTTATAGACCGGCATAAATATCATCTATATATAAAAGTGTGAACTCCAAAAGTGATAATAGTGAACGATCAAAATATCCTTAGTAAATCAAAAATAATAATAATGAATGACCAAAATACCTTTAGTAAAAATTTTAATAAATTTTAATTAAAATAACTTTTTATTATTAAATTTTTATTGAGATAAATTATAATTTGAACTCTTTTATTATTAGACTTCTTATGGGACATTTGATTCTAATCTCTACTATAGTTGCAAAGTTTGTATATAAATGAAATATCATAAAACATTAAGAAATTTAAAAATAATGAAAAAAGACAAAAAAAAAAAGGATCCATAATTCATTTGAATAGTTTGAAAAAGACATAATAAGTGTTTTCTTAAGATTTATAAAGTTAGATTAGACAAACTCGCCACATTATGCCTATAGAAATATTTTTAGAATAACATAACAATAAATAGATATACCAATTATCAAAAAGTTTAATACCCTTATCTTTTTAATTATTTCTTAAACTCCAAAAGTGAAAATAGTGAATGACCAAAATATCCTTAGTAAATCAAAAGTGATAATAATAAACGATCAAAATACCCTTAATAAAATTTTTAATTAAATTTAATTAAAATGATTTTTAATTATTAATTTTTATTGAGATATATTATAATTTAAACTCTTTTATTATTAGACTTCTTATGGGGCATTTGATTTTGATCTCTAACTAAAAGATTGTAGTTGCAAAGTTTGTATATAAATAGAATATCGTAAGACATTAAGAAATTTAAAAGTAACGAAAAAAGACAAAAAAAAAAGGATCCATAATTCATTTGAATAGTTTCAAAAAGACATGATAAATGGTTTTAAGATTTATAGAGTTAGATCAGACAAACTCACCACATTATGCTTGTAGAAATATCTTTAGAATAACATAACAACAAATAGATATACCAATGATCAAACTATGATCAGATTTATTATAGCGGTATTGACATGTTACAACAATATGGTTGAATTAATGATAAATCTGACACTTTATGGCATGGTTTGCATGTTGAGAACGTGGAAAGTTCCTATTAGCTCGATTATTTGATTGAAAGTCTCGTTGAGACATGATTTGTGCAAAGAACAGACCGAGAATCATGATGATCATACCTTTGATTAATTTGTCTAGTGTGCCTAAAATCACGGCAAGGATTATTGAAGCGCTGATCTCGACTATTTGGGTGAGTTACCATAGCTGTCTTATGGGAACTAACAATGGCATTCATAGGTTGTGATGACAATACCTACATTATTTTTAAGTGTTGCTCATGAACTAACGACCATAATTTCAAATCATTAAAGGAAATAGGTGTCTATTTTCAATTGCAAAGACAACTGGTTGATATTCAATGGTATTTGGCATCCATTCAAGGTACGAGTAACCAATTTTGAATTAGAGATAAGATGATTTACGGTTGCTAAATTATCAAAAATATATTTATGGCATTGAAAAATTAGTAGTGGCTATTGAAACACCAATAGGTACCAAACTTATTGCAGATGTGCTATTTGTGCCTAAAATAGATTAAAACCTATTAAGTGTATGATAGTTGCTAGAAAAGAACTCCTTTTTAGTTTTCAAAGATAAGGCATGTATAATTCATAATCTCATTGGCCATGAACTCTTTACTATTAATATGAAAGAAAAATGTTTTTCCTTAAATTCGCATGAAGCAAACTCCTCTACATATGCTAGTTCACATGATGAATGTTCTTTATGGCATAAAAAGATGGGACATTTTAACTACAATGCATTAAATTTAATGCATAAAAATGATCTTATACTAAACATGCCTACTGTTAAAGTCAATGCTGAAGTGTGTGAAGTCTATCAGCTAGAAAAATAAAGTAAGTTACCATTTGCAATTAACAAAGCATAGAAGGTAATTGAAAAACTACAACTTGTTCATACTAATGTTTGTGGTCCTATGAGAATCTTGTCCTTGAATGACAGTAGACATTTCATTACTTTTAAAGATGATTTTACCAGAATACATTGGATTTACTTCATAAAACAAAAGTATGAAGTTGCAAATGTATTTTGAAAGTTCAAGGCTTGGATTAAGAATCAAAGTGGCTGTAAAATCAAGATTATAAAGTTAGACAATGGTACTGAATACACATCTAACAGATTTAATGAGTTTTGTGAAGTTGATGGAATTGAACACCAACTCACAGCAACTTACACTCCACAATAAAATGGAGTCAGTGAAAAGAAGAATAGAACAATTATGGAGATGGTAAGATACATGTTGTTTGAGAAAAATCTTCTCAAGAAATTTTGGGCAGAGGCAGTCAATATCTCTATCTACTTGCTTAATAGGCTACCCACAATAGCTTTGAAACGAAAAACTCCATTCGAGCCTGGTATGGAAGCAAACCATCAGTACGGCATTTTAAAGTTTTTGGCAACATCTGTTATGCGTTTGTTCCTAATATCAAAAGGGACAAACTTAATCAGAAAGTAAAAATCTGTATTTTTTTGGAGATAGCAACATCACCAAAGGCTATAGGACTTACAATCCACTTACAGGCAAGGTTATTATAAGTAGAAATATGAGATTTAATGAGCAAATTGCCTAGAATTGGAAAAAGTCAAAGGTAGAATCAGTCAAGCAAACTATTACAGACATGATAAGCTTC